TTCCATGCAAAAAATAACTTTTAGTTAATATTTATTATTTTTAATTATTTTTCTATTAATGATCGACGTATTAATGGCATAATTGAGGTGTAAAATTTTTAGCATCATTTTGAAGAATATAATTTTACATGGAAAAATAAAAAAATTTAGCGAAATCGTTCGAATAGTTTCTGAGAAATCAAATTTTGAAAAAGTCGTTTTTTTAAAATTTGATTTCTCGGGAACTACTTGCGACTTCCCTCAAATTTTATATTTTGCCATCTGAAATTAAATACTTTGAAATGATGTAGTAAGCAGCTGCAAACTTTTTAACTGGAACTAGAGTAGGCGCCGAGCTCGAGATTGTTATTATTTACATTTCTATTGAAAACACCATCCATTAAGATCGAGTCTTAGTTCATGAAGATCCGATCACTAGATTAAAAGGTATTCAGGATTTTTTTTTTTTTTTTTCCTTTGCGTGTTTAGCGAAAAAATAATTGTGTGATTGGAGAAAAATAATTTTGAAGATGTTGAAGTTACTATTTTGTTGAAAAAGTTGAATAAATTACCGACTGTTGAGTAAGATGTGGATTAATGTATTTTCAAATGGTCATATTTTATTCCAGAGTGATGCAGGCAAAAGTGACGTATATATTAAATATCATAGACTGCTTAAATGAAGAATTAAATTCAATAATTAATAAAAATGTTTTTTTTTATAAGAAATGTTTGTTTTTAATAGGCTCTATATAGGTCCAATATTAAAAAATCTAGACATCCCAATATTGGTCCCTCGGTCAAGCTCATTTAGGACCCATATTGAGCCAAGTTTGAGCCGAACTGCTATCAAGATAAAATTGTTGCTAGGGCTCTTACATTTGTGGAAAGGTAAATATTTACTACTCTAAGGTGTTTCGTTTTCAACCTTAGGCTATTGCTTATCAACCTGAAGTATAATTTTTTACACCTATGGAAGTATTTATTGAACAACCTAAAGTGCTTCATTTAACACTTCAGCTTATTCTGGAACTACCTCAAGTGTATTTTTTGACAGTTGTAAAGGTAATTTTTTACTAAAGTGAGGTGTTTTATGATCTACCACAGGTTATTATATTTCAACCTCAAGAATATATTTTTATGCTTGTAGAGGTTTATTAATCAACTTAAGGTGTGTCATTTTGCACATCAAGTTATTATAGATCGACCTCAAGTGTATTTTTCGACCGTTGACTAGGTTGTTTTTATGAACGTGAGGTGTTCGATGTTCTACTTTAGGTTATTATTTTTCAACCTCAAGTGTGGATTTATATAGTTATTGAGGTATTTATTTATTTACCTAAGGTATGCCACTTTATACTTCCGGTAATTATATCTTCATGCATGGTTTTAATATTACACCTTCGACAGTAATTACTTATTTTCTTAAGCTATAAAAGAAATTTTAAAATACATATTTCTTATGTAATTTCAATATATTCAATTAAATTATCAGTGCTTGTTAAGTGTTTGAATTTTTAAAGCTATGAAACTGCAAATTTAAATAATTTTTCAACTGACATTCAGCTTACTTTTCTTTAAAACTAAAATTTCATTTTTTTTATCAAATCAACAAAAAAATTTTTAAATATTGATTCTGTCTCCCTGTTGAAACTTCCTGTCTCCCTGTTGAAACTTCCTGTCTCCCTGTTGAAAGTATTGGAACCTAAAAGTAAAAAATATGAGTTAGTAAAAAAGTCATATTTATAACAATAGCTGCAGGTTTTAAAATACTCGAAACTGGAAATTGTTTCGTTTTTTCCATGATTTAAATTAACTGGAGGAAATTAATTTTCTTTTTCAGATAAATGGCATTCCACTTCTGTCATTTCTATTCAATCCTCGTACGTAAAAGCGTTTATAAGCGTGACCAATACCACAGCCACAAAATAAAATACACTGAAGAAAGTACTACCATTAACAACCTTTACAGAAACTCAAATATATAATTCCAATCTTATTATGAAATTTTAGCACTTTTTATTTTCCTAAAAATCTTTCATTATGGTACTTGTAAGTTTGATAATTAGATTTTCTTTCTTTTTGTCTTACGAATATTTATATAAATTCAATTGGAGATCGAAATGGGCTACAGGTGGCGTAGAGCAAACCTCGCTACCTATGGCAACACTTTGCATGCTTTCATCATTAGTGGTGGAGAGTCACAGAAGAGGAAAGTACGTTAGTTTCTGTCTTGATTTTCATATGATTAAAAAAAAAATTTCACAGGTGAAAAACTATATGAAACTGAAAACTACATTAAACATAGTTCTAAAAGAAAGCCTCATGGAAATTTTGAAAGATATTTTTATTAATTAAAAACGAAAGATATTAAGAAAAGGAAAAATATCGTAGTACATTCCAATACAACAGGAAGGAGTAGGAGAGGGAAGGGTGAAGGACCAAAGGCATGGAGCTGATCTTCTCCCCAAATGGCGTATTCCAGCTCTGCGATCACCTACAAGACTAGTCTATACTTTTTAAACTTTTTGTCAGACGTCATAAAACTAATAGTTTGACGCTGATTTTGAAAAGGACTTCCGTTATTGTCAATCACTTCAGAATTTTGCAAAAAAATAGCTATTTTAATCAATGTAATCAAGAATAGGTACCAATTTTTACGCATTTTTTACATCCAATCGAATAAAACTAACCATAAGCTGATAGGATCATTTGTTTTAAAGTTGTGAGCAATTTTATGAGAAGAAAATGTCTAAAAGAAAGAACGATTTGAAATAATGCTTTTAAAAGAGATAGAGTAAAATATTTCTCATGTAATTTATAATACCGAACAGAATAAAATTAATTGTTAGTTGCTACAATCATTTGTTTAAGTATAAAAACATATCTCACAGGGTAAAATTAAGAAACAAAAGTAAATAAATAAATAAAATAAAAAATTCATATAACTTTCAAACAATAAATACTTTTATTCGCAATCGATTTTATTCGATTCAGCATTAAAATTATATACGAAGCTAAATTAATAAGTCGGTATTGACTATAATTAAATAAGTCGGTATTGACTTATTTCTAAAGAATTTAAGATTTCTGAAACTTAAAATTATGTCAAATTTGAATAAAATTGGAAATTTTAATATCGTTTGTTACATCTCCTTTTGATAAATTATAATCTTAAATACATGATATATATATATATATTTTAAAAAGTTCAAAGCATTGTTTTGCTTTTTTATTTATTATTTATTTTTTTCCGCTTTAAAATTTAGTGATTACATTTATATTTTAGTTAGTTAGCGCACCGGACTGCGCAGGAGTCAAGAAACTGGCCTTGCATCAAAAAGGTTCTGGGTTCGAATCCCGGGCAAGGCATGATTGTTCTTTCATTTGTACTATTTGCTCTTGATGCGGGGTGGGAGCAACGCTGGTCCACCTAATATGGTGCCCCTGAACGAAATCTTAACACAAGTGACCATTGGAAATAAAAAGAAAAAAAAAAATTAGTTAGTTTTTTTTTTTTCGTTATTATATTTCTTAAATATTAACAGTCAACAACATGTCTCAAGCTAAATAATGCTACTCATCGAATAAATATTTTTCTTCTAAAGGCTTCTCAGAGAGAGAAGAAAAAATACTAATGGAGAAAGTTTTGCAGAGATTATAAATCGATGTCGATAGGTACGTATTTTATTTACGTCACACTAGAACTACACAAAGACGGTCAGGGAAGCATCCCGGAGAATGTTTCAATGACATGCCATCGAAACTTTGAATCTCCTCACAGGGTATGGTTCCCTGCTTTGGTAGCCCGCACGCTAAGTCAAACACTTTACGGTCGAAGTTACAGTTTATGGGAACCAATATCGTGATCCCTCTATCCCTATGCAGGCTGATCAAAGTGGTGATCCACTCTCCTACTAGCCACAGCCCGTGACGCCAGGCTTCGATGCTCTACTGAGAATAGTGTTTTTTATGATCAATCCACTGCGGTACAAATCAATGTTGAAATCGTTGAAGAGATCATGTTGGCGAATTGATCATACTATCGAATATATCAATATGATAAATTCGGTGAAATGAGCTCTCAGTGAAGTAATCGTGCTGATGATGTGAATTTTATCGACTAGATCGAGTCGGCAGTATGAGTTATCTGNGATGTAAAATTAAACACCTCAAGTTGAAACATATATACCTCTGGAGGTATATATTAAGGTATATTTGAGGTTGGTTTTGAGGTATTCATTTGCACCCTTTTCAACCTCAACGACGTCTTTAAATAACAACCTCCTTTATACCTTTAAAATATACCTTGTTTATACCTCATTTATACCTCGATTTTTTCATAAGGGTATGCAGGCTGATCAAAGTGGTGATTCACTCTCCTACTAGCCACACCCTGTGAAGCCAGGCTTCGATGCTCTACTGGGAATAGTGTTTTTTATGATCAGTCCACTGCGGTACAAATCAATGTTGAAATCATTGAAGAGATCATGTTGGCGAAGTGATCATACTATCGAATATATCAATATGATAAATTCGGTGAAATGAGCTCTCAGTGAAGTAATCGTGCTGGTGATGTGAATTTTATCGACTAGATCGAGTCGGCAGTATGAGTTATCTGTCATGATAGAAATCTGAGCTGTCAGTGAATTGATCGTAGAGGCATTGACGATCGCAACGCTCGAATACGCAATCTGGGGAGAGACCGGTTTCATGCCTTTGACTCTTCTCCCTTCCCTCTCCACCTCTTTTCAGTTGTATAGGAATGTACTACGATATTTTACCCATTTTCTCAATATTTTTCCCTTTTATTTAATAAAAATATTTTTTAAAATTTCCGTGATTCCTTTCTTCATAACTATGTTTAATGTTGTTTTCAGTTTCATATAGTTTTCCTACTAAAATATTTTGATCTGTATGAAAATCAAGAAAGAAACTAACGTATTTCAATCCTCTATGACTTTCCACACGCTAATGGGGAAAGCATGCAAAGTGTTGCCATAGGTAAAGAGTTCTGCTTTACGCCACCTGCAGCTCAATTCAATCGCCATTTTATCGGCCAAAAAATCGAAATGTAGAAGATTTGAGATTAAAATAGGCAGCTTGTGGCTTTTATGACGACTCAAATAGTTTTTTTTAAAAAATAGGTTCTAATACGCATCAAAAAATATTTAACCAGTGTTCGTTCGTAAAAGCTAGAAATCTATCATTGACTGAAACTGAACTGATCAAACTCAAAAGTTTTAAACATTTGATGCGCATCACCAACAATTACGTGGGAAGCAATTGCTCATTGCTTGGCGGGTTCGTAATTTTCAAGTTCTTTTGTTTACTTAACTGTTAACATTGTAGATATTGTGTCTTTTTTTTTAAAAGTTCGGAGAAGTTTATTTATCTCTTTGATTATTCTAATTTCTGTAATAACTTCATTGAAATTACATTTGTTGTTTCATTATAAGTATTCAGTATGAATTCCCAAACTCGTAAACGTGTGACTGGTGCGTCGCTCTCTCAATACTTGGGACAATATGTTACAGTGTTTGGAGAATTTATGCAGGTTTGTTTAAACCTCAATTGAATGTTTTTGTTCCCTGCCATTTTACAATAATGATTAAAAATAACAGCGATTTCATTAGCAGTTTTCAATGTGTCATTTTTTTTTTTAAATCTAATTCGCAGCCATCACTACTTTTTTCCAAAAGTTGTTTAGTAACTTTAAAAAAGTCATTGCTTGAAATGGAATTTAACTTTTCCTAGACAAATCATAAGTCTTCATCATAAGTTTCCCATAAAATTTAGTTTACTTTTCTATTATCAAACTTGGAAGCATAACATGTCTTGTTCTCATCTTTCCTTTTTTCGAATTTATGACATGGCTTTAAAATACGAAAATGGGCTCCTTATAGAGTCCTATATTTTAGGGAAATCTTAATCATGGTGCGTAGCTCTTTTAAAATGTGCTTTTTTTGATTTTCGTTTTTAGCCCTCAAAGGTGCTTTTTTCATTGAGTGTTTTTAAAGAGCTTAATTTTTCCTTTTCGAAATTGAGATTTTTTTCCCATTACCATGTTGATTACAGCCAAGTATTATGCAATATAGCGCTTTTCACATTGTTCTACTCAACGTTTTCACAATTCATTCAACCACAATCTGTTTCGGCATGCCCTTGGTCCATAGCGTATGAAAGCGCTAATCATTTTACATGTTGGATGAAATACTTGCGAGTCTGCATGTGCGTCTACTGAGCAGGGTTCGGTGAGATTATTGCACTCTCACGTGTAACTCTGCCGCATTTTGCAAGATATTCTCAATTTCAGACTTCATTTTCCACCCTCTGATATCGAACCAGTAAAATTTCTTTATCATTTCATAATGGCTAATATAATCAAGAGAAAGTTCTTCGTCAGAAACTAGTTAATGTATATAGTGTTTAAAAATAAAATTTTGAGTGCTTACAAAGTAAAAGGTGCTTATTTTTTGTTAAGAGATTTTCTATGCACCCTGTAAATTATCTTAAAATTGTTTTTAATATTAAGATAAAAGTTAAAAATTTTTAGTATTTATAATTATTATCTTTAACTCAAATTTATATCCGACCTGGAGAATTTACATCCAACTCCAAAATAAAAAACTTTAAATACAACATATTTTTGGGGAGATTACAGTATCGTGATCTGTAACAGAATAATTGCCAAATCTTGGCAACTTCCGGGCAGTGGCCTGCAAGAAACTGAAATAAAAAATCACAGAAAAGAATCAACTCGAAAGGTATAATTCATAGCTATCTCCGGGCAAACATCTACAATTTTTAGAAAAATTGCAAGTTTAAAACTATTTGGCACCTTGGCGATTGTAGTTGGTGCGACAGATAACGATACGAAAATATTCCCCATATTTTAGTCATTAAAAACTGCTTAGAATTCTTTATTTATATGTGTCCATGCGTTGGAAATTTTTAAAATTATTTCCAACAACGGATTTTAGACACGTTAAAAAATTGAAAAATGAAATAATAATTTAGTAAAAAATACTGCATTGCCTTAATAAATCAGTTTCTTTTTTTTAACTTTCTAATTTTATTCTAACTTTGCAATTGATATGAAAAAGGGTAAAAAGATCTGTAATTATTAAAGAAGTGGAAATTTAGTGTAAAATCTTTGATCTATTTATCGAATCATATTAATCTTTAATAACCTCTCTTTTGTATTAACAAATGTGTGTTGTAAACAAAACTAACTTAAAGGAATTTAAAAAAAAAAAACTGAAATTAAAATGTACCTATTCAATATAGAATTATTTTTTCTGAAAACATTCATGAAAGTAAAAATATCCAACATAAATGTCTACAACAGTAAAATTAAAACGAATTATGCATAAATAATGAAAAATTCTATTCAATTATTATTTTATGGTTGAGTTGTGTTCTTATTTTTTTTATACTTGTAGGGTAGATTTAATAGCATAAATTTGGATTTTAGAATGAATAAAATGGAATAATAGGGATTAACATATTTGAAGGAAAAGTAGCATATTCTTAAGTTTTGTACACCTACCACGATGATTTCGCTTTGCGAGTGAAAAGTTTGATAATAGCTGGAGATGTTGAAAGAAAATTTAGTTTCCTCAGTAACTAGCATGAATTCGTCTTTTTTCCAGGCAATTAATTTTGGAATTCAATTTCTTATCAAAACTTTCCTCAATTTTATCGAATCTTTTATCTCAGAAAAAAAAAATGTTTTTATCTTGTAAACATTTTCTTAAAGGGGAGATTTCCGTATCCTGATCTGTAGCAGAATAATCGCCAAGTCTGTTGAAAAATGTAAAATAAAAATAAAAATAAAAAAATGTAAAATAAAAATAATAAAATTTAAAAAAATTAAATAAATAAGTAAGAAATGAGAAATTTTAGATTTCAAATTTGAGTCATCGCTTTTTAATGCGCTCAATTTGAACAGATTTTGTCGTAAGTCTATTTCGTTTCTCGATCACCTTTTCAACGGTTTTACCTACGAAATTCTGCACGATTTTAAAAAAAACCCAATTTTTAATACGATATTATGATGCATGAATTTTGAATTTGAGTAATCCCTTTTCACAATCAATTATTGATGAAAGGGAAAATTTCTTAGAATAAGTGTGTTTTTTTCAATGAAAGAGTATTTTTTGAATGAATTCTAGCAATTAAAAGTATTTAATTTTCTGCAAAGATACTAATTTTTTTATATAAAAATTTAGAGCTAGAACACTAACGTTTATATAAAAACTATCATATTTGCCACCAACTTGACGAAATGGATCATGGTATATGACAATTAAGTCATTTAATAAAATTTTTGTCTTATTTTTGTTCTTATTTAGGCAACTATTTTCACAGTTTTCGGCNTTCATTCAAAAGGTAGAATTTTAATTAACATTATTTGTATTATTTTTTGAAAAAAATTCATGTTTATTAATTACTTTCTACAGCTATGCAAATCTATATTAAGACAGCATTAAATGTTTACTTTAATCTATACTTTCAATCTCAAGAATCAAACGATTTTTAAAATTGTAATTTCAAATGTGTTGGAATTTAACACACACCAAGAAAGTAATTTTGTTAACTAAAATTAATTAATGCAGCAATTTATTTAAATTAAATTTTAATACTAAGAAAAGAAAATAATATAAGTATCAAAAATTTAAAACACTGTTTTTTAACTTTTGAAATCAATATATATAGATAAAAAAAATTAGTTGATTTAAATCAATGATTTTTTTAAAAAAATCATTTGATTTAAATCAAGATTTAAATCAAGCTGATTTAAATCAACGAACCCTGCTTTCAAGGGATAAATTTTACATATCTATTGCACATATATGAACATGAGTCGTGTAAATAGCTTGTACAGACTAATACCACTGGTGAAGTGATTAGTATCTGTCATATCTTGTCAAATTATGATCACAATTTGAATTATTTATTTCTGCTTTTATTATCTTTTAAAAATAATTAAAATATAAAATGCACTAAATTCTTTATTTCTCTTTCATATATACAATGGAAGAATTCTAAGATTTTTATTTGATTTTTTAACAGTTGGAATCAAGTGGAAGAACATTTACCATGAAAACTGCCAGCAATGATATTGTTACTGTTCAACTACAAGAACCCGTAAGTCAACTCTAAAACTGAACTTTTCTTCTTAACATTGTTATTTATTTGCTTGTGTGATATAAATATGAGAATCGTTCAGATACGCCCAGAACTTTTTTTGTATAAATTAGACGTTGAAGAATATAAATTTTTTCGTAAAAATCGTAATGCATTGAAAAAGATGTGGACGGCACAAGGACCGACATATTGGCTTCGTTTCTTATTAACATATCAACTGAGTTTTGAAGATTATGCATCCAATCATGCTGAACTCAGTGCGTTTGTGATATCCCACTACGAAAGACACGTACCAGACTTCGTTTATATAAGAATTCATAAGCAAATTGTAGAATCTACATTCGAGAGAGTCGAATCTTTTATAGAAAATGTTTTTCGAATTGTACAGAATTTTCACAAAGCTTCCCTATACACTACCGAAAATCCTATTTATTCTGAAGAAAGTTTAGAACATTTAAGCTCTGCTATGGAACAGAATGATAGTGGAAAAGTGACTTATTCTGGTATAGTTTCTTTATTATGTATCATGTATTGCGGATTCGTTGATGGCTTTCTTAAACTTTTAAGAAAATGGTTAAAAGAATCTGATGTAAGCAAAGAAGATGAAAATAATATTGATCTTACTATATATTACTGGAGACCCCAAAAGAGTTGGGAATGCAAAAAATTTATGCCAACATGTTTTGAGAAGTATTTAGCTACCCACTGGGGAGAATCTCTTCCAAAACTTTTGCTAACGTGCGATATTTATAATATTTTTAATAATCATGCCGAAGACGAGGAATGTTCTTGCCAATTTAAGGATGAAGAGAGTATATTTGGCTTGCTAAAAGATAAGTATAAGGTTGGCAAGCCACAAGCTTTGAGCGTTGTTCATATTTACAAACCAGAAACAGCTTTATGTCCAGAACACAATAATTGTTATGTAAAACTTCTGCATGGCAAAGAATGCCTGGAACCTTACATATGTCTTGGTATGAATTCGACTTGTAGCAGAACTTGTGAAACGGTTCTTAAAAGTAAGCATAAAGAAGAAGTAAAGGATTTCTGGAAAAAATCTATTGTTGAAGTCTTTAATTGTAAAAAGCGGAGCCAGCGTAGTGTTTCGACTTTCGTTGAGTCTTGTGACTCACAAATAGAGACATTCTGTCCTTTGAGTGGAAGTAGGAGAAAGCAAGTGAGTCTTGATTTGGAGGAATTATTTTACTGCAATTATGATCCGAACTTTAGAAACTCATATACTCAGCATAAGCGCAAAGAAGAATACCGGCAAAAGTTGAGGAAAAAGCTACTGGAGAGGTATGAATATGACAGCCAAGACCCTGCCCAATTAAAGGATATGTATGACGAAGCGCAAAGGCTGTGGTTAAATGAAATATGCTTCGAAAATTACAGTAAGCTTTTTGCTCTTCAGCATAATCAACCTTGTGATTTTGACGAGCAGCTATTTAAGGTAAAGAAATCCTTAACAACCGTAGCCATTGGAACATCTAGCTTAATATTTGGGCGTGTGGTATTGCCTTCAAGACGTAGATCTTCTCCTAAGACTAATCCTACCACTGAAATAAAAGTTAATATCAGCACTCAAAAGACTTCTAAGAGGAAGAAGAAAAAAGCTGTCATCTCTACCACCACTGAAATTACTAAAGTTAAAATTGCAAGCTCTAGACCCCCAGAAACTAAAGATGAGGCTAATAAAACTGCTTCTCTTACCGATTGCAGTACATTGCTGGATGAGGTAGATTGCAACAGTAATTCCAATGCAAAATGCGTTGAAAGTTTAGTGAATACATCATCGGAACATGCTGAAAGCTTACGTACCACTCCCAAAACTCAAAATAAAGCTGAGATTTCTAATTCTGGTACAGTGCCCGATGAATCGGATACTAAAAGTGATTCAAAAGCAAAATGTGTTGAAAGTTCCTCCAATTCTGATGTAGTTGAAAACGGTGAGAAAAAATGTACCAAGAAAAGTGGCACCAAAACTTCGAAAGATTTGCAGTTAGGCCTAACTGAGTTGTGTAATCAGGGGGGAAATGTGGAAGAATCTAAGCCTAGTGTCAGTGAAGTTTCCAGTGATGTTGATGATGAACTTAACACATTTTACAGTTTTGTTGTGAATGGGGAAGAAAAGACGGATGATACGATTTGCAATGGTACCACAACTGACCTCCCCAATACTGAAAATTGTAATGCTACTGGTGGGAATAAAGAGAAAAAGAATATTCTTTCTGAACGAAAAAGCAAGCTGAAAATCTGTGCTTATTGTTCAAAACAAGAGGTTGTGGTTAAATCATTCAAAAGATGTTCCAGATGTAAAGCAGAAAACTTTCCAGATCAGTATTTTTATTGTTCCAGGGAATGTCAAGTAGCAGACTGGGAAAAATCACACAGAGAATTGCATCTTAAAGCAAGGACTAATCATTAGGGGTTTATTTCACTCTAAATGAACCTTTTAAGGTTGGGTGTTGTGACAATGCAAAAATAGAATAGTTTTTAAGGTGTGAATAAGCACAAGGTATCTGCATACCTGGAAAGTCATGGTTTTCGACCTTAATGGAAAGTCATGATTTTGAGTGATAAATACTAAAAAATCATAAAATCTCCCAATTCATAATGGATTTTGAGTATTGGAGCCTTTAATTCTGTCAGGCAAATCGAAAATCCCACATTGTAATTTGTTCTCACATATTTTAAAAATCGTACATCTCGATCCTTATAGGTGTATTTTAAAAATAACATATTTCTGACCAGTGTTTGGGGGAATTAAAATTTTTTGATGTAAAGTAATTTGATACTACATGGAAAGATGATGAGGCTTTTGTTTGTTTGAAATTAAATTAACATAATCCCTAGAATTGACCTTTTGAAAATAGCGTATTTGAGTTTTGTCAAATAAAAAGATTTTAGCATTAAAAATGTTCTTTAAAGGCATTATTAAATATTTTTAAATCCATGTTCTAATTTATTTGTTTATCACTGTTGTTTAATTTATTTGTTTTTCAGTTTATTTAATATTTAAATAATCTTTTTTTTTTTCAGTTTATTTAATATTTCAGTTATTTTTTATTGCTTTTGTTTAAACTGGCTTATTAAAAAGTACAAAGCATTGCTCATATAAACTGTTGTTTTTGAGAAAGAAAGTTACACTCGTTTAAACCTTTTTTTACTTTTCTTCTTTTGACTAAATTTAGTAATGTATTACCCTGTGTAAAATCTCTTTAATAACTTTTTTTAATTGTGAGGATTTTTATTTGCTTATAAGTTTCCAAGATGTAGTTAAGTAAACAAAAGAGAATTTAACGTTAAGGGGTTCAAACGTTACTGGCTGGTAATGTGACTGGTGTTAGTAAATTTTGATATGCTTACCTCTTGTAACGAAAATTACTGAACACTTTTCTGCGGACCAAAAACTCAACAATAGCTGTCTGATCATATAAATATAAGTTTGGAGAATTGTAGAATTATTTGTTCAGTTATAGGAGACCATGAAAGATAAAGATTTTGGTGCAGTCTTTCCACTCAGGCGCAGTAGCGCATATTAAATTTAAAGTAAGCAAGTTAATTACTAAAATTTCATTCTTTTTTTTTATTAAAATATGAAATAGTATGCACTTTTACAATTTACAGCTATTAAAATTTCAAACATTTATAATGAAGTTAAAATCTTCATCCTCATGTCCACTTTTTTTGTGAATTGAGCGTTGAATGCATTGATTTTTTTCCCATGGGACACAGATTGATTTTTTATTAGTAAACAGACTGCTGGAGCTCATTTCTAACTCAATTTATGAACCAATTAGTAGATCAGACTGGCATAGTAACATAAAGTATCTGCGCACACAATCCAAGAGTATCTGCAAGCTCGTAATATTTTTGATAAGAGAATCATTTTATTAAGTATACGTAAACAATTAACTATTTAATATTTTCATTATTCTTGGCAAAAATATATATATATACATGCACATTAACATTAAGAGCAGTAGAGGAACAATAATAGTTATACATAGAACTACGTTCATATAAAGTAATTGTCATATTAAGTAATATTAGTAAATTTACTCCAAACGAAATTACATTAAAAGATTTCCTACTCTCACCGCAATAATCTATTTTCGTTGTAAAACAATTGTCGAGTTAAGTTGTAAAAAAATCAACGAATTGTAGGCTCGCCCGCTAACGATGGGATTACTAATCTTTGGGCTAAAGTGACAATTGTCTTTTTTCTTTGGAAGCAGCATACACGAAACACTGACTTTCTTAACTTTGCATAAATCATAGTTATGCTGTCTGCTTCATGTTTTTATTTTCTTATTTTTTGTTTACTTTTTTTTGCAGACGCGATTACTTTTTTTTATATTACCACAAATATTAAAAAAGTATGTGTAAAATTGGAGAATCATCACCGATGTATCCGCTCACAGTGTGCACGTGTGCGTCTATATTATCTAACTATGCAGACTGGTCTAAAGAAATATTTTACTCATACAGTGGAGCTTTTAAGCAGGGTGGGCATTTTGTGTGAAAAAAAGCTATTTCTTCTATGATACAAATGGAAGAAACTAAGAATGACTAATTGTTTAGCATTGATAATTATTAAAATAGCTTAAATTTAAACAAGTTAAATTTAAGATATCACCAAAAAGTTAAAAAATCTTCATTCTCTTTTTTTAATTTTATATTATACATTATTATTTAATTTTACATACATTATTTAATTTTATACATCAAGAAATTTTAGTGGTTAGTCTTGAGGACCAGTAACTAAAAGATGTCACTAGATTGTACACATTTTCATCTGTCCATTTATTTTTCGATTAGATTTTTCGAAAAAATATTTTTTTAAGTGAAAGATAACTCTGAGAATGTGTAACACTGACAATTGAATGAAAGATGCTGTTTTGCAACAAAAAAATAGACGAAATCAACTGACCATTCCTTTTCATCAATTGTTTGTCCAGGATACCACTAATAATTACTTTATAGTAGTTTAAGCCAGAGTTATGTAATATTGGACAAACAGACCACTGTTAATTTGGAGCACTGTTGTAGTTTTAGATAGAATTTTAAGATCTATATATCATATTGTCTAAGAGTTAATTAAGGTATCTCAGTGTTTGATTTTGAAAATTTATGCTATTTGTAATTGTGAATTTAATATGTTATATACATGTAGTACTGCATATGTTCGGAAGTGTATGTATGTTTAGTATGCGATTTGTTAATGAATGAAAGATATTGATTATATTGATGAAATTTAATCTTGACATTAAAAGTTCTTGCAACTCTAAAATTAGGTTTTACTGTTCCTTTACGTAACATATACAGGGCTGGTTGTGCTCCGGAAAAAATCCGGTTTTCCGGAATTTTCGCTAACAGTAATCTGGAAGTTTCCGGAAATCGAAGGTCCAGATGCTTCAAAAAATCATTGATCACAGAAGTTTCCGGAAATCAAATTTTCAAAGGTGGAACTTAGAAACAAAGTTTATTTTATTTGTTAGCCAGAGAGATACTTTAAAGCTTATATTCATGATTAATATAAATTTTTTATCAGTAAATAGTTATAATCATAAACTGAAGAAAGAAAGACATATTTGTAAATTTTAATTACTTCTCCAGGTCATCATAGGTATGTTTAAATGGTATAGGTATGTGTAAAATTTTAAATATAGTTAAAGTAAACTAAGAAATATTGAGAAAAAGGAAAAAAACCTTGTTTAAATTTTTTTCTAATTTTTCAATTTGAACTGGTTTTTTTTTTTTTTTTTTCTTAACTCAAGAAATTTTCCGGAATTTTAACTTGGGCTCACAATCACCCCTACATATATAAATTTTACACAAGTTTAGTTTAATTTTTCAAGAAATTCATTAAATTCCTTTTTCTAGTTTTCACTTGTGATGTAATTACTACCTTGGAAATTAATAATACTGATTGTTTAAATTAGATTTCAATTATAGTTCATAATACATTTAAAATATTGTTTTAATATTTAACATTTCTTTTTGAAAAACCGTTTCTTTGTTCTTGGGTCGGAAGAAACCTATTTCGTCTAAGTTTTTTCCTCCTTGAAAAAATCTTACTATCTGCGACTAGAACATAAAACATTTCTCAACAAGCTACATGCAGATTTTACCACTTTCTTTATGGATTAATTATTATATTTAATTTTTCATTGGCCCCCTAAAAGTTATTATATTTGATACTTCACTGAGAAATGCATGTGTACAAAGTAACAGAACAAAGAATCAGAAATTAATTTATTTTTCAATTTGCTTCTGCATGGTGATTTATACTATCAAAGGAACTTATATTCCGGACTAGTTTTTTAAACTTTTGAGAACTACAACTATGAAACTAACTTTGTAAATGAAATTGTGTAATGTTGTGGTAGTTATTGTAATTTAATTACCATGTTGTTGCACATAAATTAAATTTGTTTTGAAATATTGTTTAATTTTGTAAGCAAAAGCTTGTATTCTAAGTAATTTATTTTAAAACAGGTTGTGTTAAAGTAAATGGCCTTGTTAACGACAAAAACTATATTGTGGAATTGTAAGATTTTGTTGTTCATGTTATTTACAAAATACTATTTTCCAGTACATCTCAAAAAGATCAGCTTATATTAAAAAAATAAATACTAGATCTATTTTTCTTCCTAGCACTGTTTCATTCTGGATAAATTCTATAATTTTTCATTGTTAGTTTTTTTATATTTTTTTTATAAGCTGATAAGTTTAATGATTAACTGTATATTTCCAATTTTTTCTGTGCAGCTGGTTCATGTATGCATTATCTAGCTTTGTATATATGCTAATACAAATTTCAATGATAAACCAAATGTAACCCAGTGTCAGGAATATATTCTTTGTTCTATAAAGCACACTAAAATATAATTCTCACGATTCTCACAAATAACATGTAATCTTACAACAATAATTGTATAAAATGATTCCTTACAATTATTTCAAATTGAGGGATTTATAAAGGTTTAATGTATAATTATTACATCTGTTGTACGTTGATTTGATGAAGAATTTATATAAAGAAATTCATTTGCCATTCAAAATATTGGAAGTAAATTAAGTTTTTTTTTTTTTCTTAAGTGTTTAATGTAAAATGTATTTATTTTATATATTTATATTAAGATGTTTTTTATATTACAAAAGGCAAAACTTTTAAGAAGTTTATCGAATAATGGTTAACTGTTGCTAATCATTTAACTGCTGATGTTTTGATTATACAATTCATATTTTTCACATAACGTCACTATTCTTTATTTAATAACAATTCTTTTTTCAATATTTTAAATGCTAGTTCTTCCAGAAAATTGGAAAATCTTTTATATTGAAATAAAAAGTTTTTTTTTTCAAAGCATTTGAATTTTACACAAAATTGTTTATTTATAACAAAAAGTGAAAGAAAGATTTTCTGCACTGTTTTCTTACGATGAAAATCAATTAAACTTTTTAATTTTCAAATGGCTTCTTTAGAACTGTTTGGAGCTAGCTCCAAAAACTCTATATCTGGGAACTGACCCATTGCTTTTTATTTAAGACTTAATTATTTGCTAATTACTTTGGAAATAAGCAAAACTACTCAACATCTTCAATAAGAGTAGTAACCTATTAGCCATTTTTTGTTCACGGTTTTTCTGTGGAATAAAAGTTAATAAGGCCAGTTTTAATTTAATTAAATATGATTAATTTAACATACATGAGGTTTATTAGCTTTTGTGTAATTACTATCTCAATTACGATCAGAAAAAAGGAATAATAAGTTTCAATTCTTAACATTTATAATTAAATATTTTATTGGTTCTTAAATGGTCGAATTTTACAAAATGCTCATAATTTAATATGTTTAACTTCCATTTTTTTTAATGTGTTTTTATTTTGTGAGATTGCCAATTTTCAGGTACATTTGTTACACCATTATAAGATATATTATAACTTTTTGCACTGTTACTTTTTGTTTTAAGTATTTGGTACGTAAAAAGTGCTTGAAATGTGTAATTTCAAAATTAATTAATTTTGATGAAATAAAGGGGTTTAAATTATTATGCTTGTATTTTTTCTATGGCAGTCGTTTTAATACAGTACACAATACATTCATATAGGAATTATTCATTCTCTTTTAACACAAAATTCTGGTTAATTTGTTTTCTTTGCTCTGTCTCTGAGGAAAATGTTTTTAAAAAAATTTATAATTTGAACTATACTTTGGATAGTCTCAAATTTTCCACCACAATTACCTTTAAATTATAATATTGAAATCTACCCCTTAAATAATTTTCCTGGGGAAAAAAACAGTTCTCTCCTTTCTATACTCTTTCTATACACTATTTAGTAATCATTCAAAGCTTGTCACTCCCTCATGGTGCGTAGCGTTTTTAACAACTGCCTAAATGTGCTTATTTTAATTTTTTAAATGCCCTTGAAGATGCTTTTATTATTAGGTGTTTTTAAAAAGTGCTTAATTTTCCCTTTTCGAAAATGAGATTTTTTTTCGTTACCATGTCGATTTTCGTCAAGTATTATGCATAAGCGGGCTTTTCACATTGTTCTACTCACCGTTTTCACAATTCATTTCGGTGTACTGTCGGTCCATAGCGTATGAAAGCGCCAATCATTTTACATATTTGATTAATTACTTTCTAGTCCGTATGTGCATGTATACTGAGCTGGGTTCGGTGAAATTCTTGCACTCTCATGTGCAACTCTGTTGCATTTTGCAAGATATTCTCAATTTCAAGCTTCATTTTCTACCCTCTGATATCAAATCGAAAAATATCTTGATCATTTTTTAATGGCTAATGTGTCAAATTCTAGTTATTTTATCTTGATCATATAAAGTCTTTGAGAATTATTTTGCATTTTGTTAATGTACATAGTGCTTAAAAATATTTTTTGAGTGCTTAAAAGGTGCTTATTTTTTCTTGAAAGATTGACCCTGTCCCTGAAAAAGAAGCTGAAATCGAAAGGCCCCTCAGTAAAAGAGTTCTTTTCAGTGTGGACTGAAAGGAAAAGGTTACAAACAAACTTTCTACTAAATGGGGGGGGGATTTAACGACAGGCACTAAACTTTTGTTCCTCACCTCGGAAGTGTTGCTCAGTTAACGTTATCCAGTGGATACCTGAGTCACAGAGGCAAGCAACATCACCCACACCACAGATACCCATCACCCAACAGAAAAACATCCATGCCCTGATCAGGATGCGAACCCGCAACCATTGGCTTCACTGTCAGGCAAGCTGACCCCCTAAATGGAAAGGCTGAAACACAGGTTTTCTTCAAAGTATAGCTATTCTTTTAGTCTTAAAGCTGTACTTGTTTTTGGTTAATGATTTATTGCGGCAGTTACATTTTGAATTTTCGCTCTGTATTGTTTTTAGGCCCTTACTTAGACTTTGCTAATAACTATAGCTAATAAATAAATAATGGTTGATTTAATGAGGAAAAAAAATGTAGCAACATTTTTAGATAAAGTTTACATGTTCAATGCTTGATTGTGGGGTTAATATTTTTTTATTTATCTCTTTCATTTATGTAAATAATCACAGTTAGAATTCTTTGCGGTTTCGAACTTTTCTTCTGGTTATTTTCCACTTCAAATCATCCAAATTTAACAGGGTACTATTAACTTTTGTTTCTGTATTATAAAATGTGGACTAAAAAGCAAACATTATTATTTACTTTTATTTAATATCAACTTATAACATTTATTATGGCTTATTTTTTTAAGCATTAAAAGCTGATTTTGACAAAGTGGGCCCAGCCCGAAAATATCGCTGCCATTATTTTTTCAGGTGAAACCACTTGAAAAAATAACTTTTTTTTCTTCAAAATTTACGGTACTAAATCAATATGTTTTACTTCAAAAGCAAAATTATTGTTGTTTAAGCAAAGACTTCTTAACAATTGAAGGCATTAACTGAAATGCATTCAACTTGTTTTGAGTCTTGTCTCTAGTTTGGAGAAAAAAAATTAATGTCTGTTTTTATGAAGAAAGCTTTTGAGATAATGTTTTTTCGAATCAAATTTTCACTAATTGGAAACGCTTTTAAAAATGCAGCGCTGTTAGAGAAAATAAAAATCTAGTTTCTATTCTTCAAAATTCATTTTTCTATTTGTCTCTCATATCATAAATTAACAAATTTTAGAACTTAACAAATATGTGTAAAAATAAGTTTTAATAATGTATAGTGAAAAATACTATTTTAGATTTATTCTTTATTAAATCTATTAGAATTTGCCCCCAAAAAAACAAAGCTGAAAAATATTTTTCCAAATAATAATTTGCTGAATATTTAGCCAATTATTCAGCCAACCTGCAAACGAATATTCGGCAAAAGGGCCGAATATTCGCTACATCCCTGTCAATAACAAAATTTTGTACAGGCTGCAAATAGTGAGTGTTCTATATGTCAGGAAGAGAATGGATATTATTCCATCTTTCTTCAAGATCTTTGAATTTATTTATCTCATTTTTCAATATAAATGTCCCTTGATATTTTGGGTATTTCCTGCAGCAATTTTTGCAAATTCTTCTGCAGTTGTGACTCACCTTCCAGTCAAGATGATTTCCCACTCTACATTTTATAATTCCTAAAATGCCATCAACAGCCATGGCTTGTGGCAAAAAAGTTCCAAGTTGCCATTACTCCATCTTATTCTAACAGGGTGTGTAGCATTTTTAAAAAGTGCTTTAAGGTGCATATTTTCGTTTTTTTAAAAGTCTTTAAAGGTGCTTTTTAAAAAGTGCTTTATTTTCCCTTTTCCAAAATGAAATATTTTTTTCTTTACCATATTTATTTTCGATACGAATTATGCAAAATGACATTGTTCTATTCGACGTTTTCACAATTAATTCAACCCTGATCTATTTCGGTGTAGCCGATGAAGACGCCATTCGTTTTGCATGTTTGATTAAATACTTGCGGATCCGCATGTCCGTACACTGAGCTGGATTCAGTGAGATTCTTCCACTCTCATGTGCATCTTTGCTGCATTTTGCAAGATATTCTGAATTTCAGGATTCAGTTAGTTTTTAATTGATAATTTAAAAATACTTAATATTTATAATCGGTAATATCCTTATGCCACAATTTTGGGTTTTTGACTGTCAAAAGGTTTTTTTTGACATGACGGATAAAACCTTTAATTCTCAAAAACTTGTCCACTTCGCTTAATTATGATTTTTTTTAAGTGCTTAAAAATATTTTTTGAGTGCTTAAAAGGTGCTTATTTTTTGTTGAAAAATTTGGCTACGTACCCTGTCTAACATGAATCCTAAATTAGTAAACATGTATTGACTTGCAGCCCCCGTCAGTAAAAAATTATATGTTTATTAATTGAGGAAATGGAATCAATAAGTTATCAATTGAAGCAATAAGGAAGGCGAAAACAGCTAAGCCTTTTCATCACTTATAAACGTATATTCTCTTTTGGCAGCTATGTTGTCACTCTAATATTGCAATGAAGGAATTGTCTGTAAGAAATTTTTTTAGTAATACCAACATGAATTACTGTGAGTGATATGAAATGTGACAATATCTTTTTGCTTATTTTTTGCAAATCTTGCGTATGTGATGTTTAAATATTAGATTTCTTATGGGTTAAATAATAAATGTGTTTAAATAATTTTTGCTAATAATTATGATTATATTTATTAAATGGCATTATTAATGTTGTGGTTTAAAATATATATTGACTTTAAATTAAATATTTATTTAAAAGAAATAGGAATATGAACTTAAAGAAAATATTTGTCTCATAATATTAAATGCTAAAAGAAAGAACAAAAAAAAAAAGAAGATATTGTTGCCAGCTCAAAATCAGACCAGATATCTGACCATTGTACGATCTGTTGCATCCCCAATTCATTGATAAATAAATTGAATTTAATCGTAGTTTTTCTAGCATTTAATTGAATTAATGAAAAAACAAGTTTAAGTATTGTTAATTTGTTATGGTTTTGAAGAGAGATTAAGTAACAAAACAAAGTTTTTTTTAAAGAAATAGTTAACTTTTTTTTTCTTTCTAAAATTACCAGTTGGATACCAAAGCAATCCCCTATTTTTGCTGTTTTGTAGTTTAATTTTAACCTTCTAATAGTCCTGAAAATAAAAAACTACATTTCCAGTTGCATGTTTCTCTGAAGAGTTTAATTACATAATAAAATTCTATGAGGAAACTGTGAAGGGATGAAAGATACTTACAAGAGGGTTAAGCCTATTTGGTATTAATAAGTGGCAGTTCAACCAATATTAAATTTAAATAAATGAAATTTTAAGGTAAACATTATTAAAGAAATGAAATATTGGAAAATAAATGTTAATAAAATTATTAGAGAGGAGAGTAAGGTATAGTTTGTATATCTGTGCTGTGAAGTGCTTCTGGCAAATGTCTATTCCAAACAGTGTAAGTATAATTAATTTTTACACTCAAAATATTTGTTTTTATGTTAAACAACCTGTCATATGTTTTATTAATACATTGTAGTTGAACGCATTGCACATCAGATATTGTAATCAATTGTTAAATTTCAATATACTAATTACAATACATGCTTGTTAATTACTAATTACTCCTAAACTTGCACAATTCGATTATTCTATTTTCTTAGATAATTTTAAAACCCCAGCTGAAACGACTGTTTCTACCTTTAATTACTTGAAGTTTGATTTTTTTTTTTCCCCGACAACATTAGAAAAATTTTCAGGATACAAGTTTGTTCCGCTTAGACTAGAGAATAAATGGTGCGTAGCATTTTTAAGAAGTGTTTAAAGGTGCTTTTTTCATGAGGTGTTTTTAAAAAGTGCTTAATTTTCCCTTTTCGAAAATGAGATTTTTTTTCTTTACCATGTTGATTTTCGCTGTGTATTATGCAAAATCATGGTTTTCACATTGTTCTATTCGACGTTTTCACAATTCATTCAACCACAATCCATTTCAGTGTCTGTCAGTAACGTATGATAGCGCCAATCATGTTACATATTTGATGAAAAACTTGGGAGTCCGCAACTGTGTCTACTGAGCTGGATTCGGCTAGATTCTTGCACTCTCATGTGCAACTCTGCTGCATTTTGCAAGATATTCTCAATTTCAGGCTTCATTTTCCACCCTCTGAAATCAAACTGAAAAATCCCTGGATCTTTTTATGGTGGCTAATATAATCAAGAAAAAGAGTTCTTTGTCAGAAATTAGTTATTTTATCACGATTAAATAAAGTCTTTGTAAATTATTTTGCATTTTGTTTGTTTGTATATAGTGCTTAAAAATATTTTTTGAGTGCTTTAAAGGTGCTTATTTTATGTTGAGAGATTTTGCTATGCACCCTGGAATAAGACCAGTAATTTTCTAGTTTATCTGAAGTTTTCTTAAAATGTCTATTACTGTAATAAATCCTTTCATATTAAAAAAATGTTTGAAACAGTTTCAAAAGTCAAAGTAGAATTATTCAAAGAAAAATTGTCTATTCTAAACATTTTTCAGTACATATTCGCTTATTAGAGACTTCATTAAAAAGATATAAATTGCAAGTTTTTTTTTTTTTTAAATAAATTTTGTGTTATCAGTTTTTAGAGATTCTATTTTAGCATTCATAGCATTAGCAATGGAAAAAAAAATAGTTTTTAAGCCATTTTTCTCGAAATCTGTGGTGAAGCACTTATGTTGTTCTTTCAATTGCAGACAGTATACCCAATCTTCTTTAGCCTAATTTTTTAACTGGGTATTTTTTTTTCTCCCCCAAGTGAAGAAGTCTTTAAATTACAAAAAAAATTTCATTGAATATTTTTGATAATAGGTGTGCTTTAAAACAACCTATCTTGGTTAGATTGCCACTGATAGGTTTTTTTAATTTTTATCAATTAAGCTGACATTTCTTTTAGATTTTTCCAGGATTTGTTTTATCCAAGTCATGTTTACGCATTTCACTTTTGAATCTGAATTTTTTTTTCCCAACTTCATTTCTTTTTGATTGACTAAGATTTTAAAACAAATTAATTAGAATGTGACTTGATATGATTATTTTAATGTTTAAAATGCTGTAAAGATTAGTATATAGTAACAGAAGACTTACTAAGTTGTTCTTAAACTTAATCTAAATAAATTATTGACACTTTTAATTAATTTTGTGTAAATTGCTTCTAACAGGTTCAAGATTTATTGCAAGGATTTATTGAGGTTCAAGGTACTGTCAGCCATAACAACACCATTAAGTGCCAGCATCTTATCAGTTTTCCAAAGGAGTTTTATGAAAAAGCAGGTAAAAGTTTTATTAAAGCTTACTTTATTTGAAAACAACCACGACATGACTAAATTGATTTATTTTATTAAAACCCAATGAAACAGCATTTACAGGCATAATATGAATGAGAAATTAAAATATTAAATAATATTAAGAACTATTATATAGTAAGGTTATGCACTGTAAAAATTTAATGTTTAATTAAAAGTTTTTTATGATGTACGTTACGCAACATTTTATTATTACGCAGGCATTTTATAAAATGCCTAGGAAATGTGTGAAATATAAATTGTTTCATACATTACCGGCTTTAGTTTTAGTAATTGGATTCAATGCCTAGGCATGTAGAATGCTGGACTTCAAACTTTGTTGGTAACATATATGTAATATACGTATAAATATGTATTTCCATTGTTTAAAATTGTTAATTGTAAAGAAATTTTTATGATAAACTTGGCGATTTTCAAAGAATTGCATTATTTTGATGAATCATTAAGATCATTCTGTATTATCAAATTAAGATATTCAAATAATAGGGTATATTTAAAATATTTGTTTAAATTTGATAACTTAGTAAATATTAATTTATTTATAAGAAAAATGAATTACATCATTGATAATCACTTTTTAATGTAGAAATTTTTGTAATGTAAATAATAAAAAATAGAATAAAAATAAGTGAAAAAGGCATTTTGTATTTGTTTAGTTGTGGCAGCCAATATGTACTTAAATTTTTCCCCATTTTTCAATTAATAGTAAAGAAGTCTTCATTACATCAGACCGAATAACCTTCATGTTCGACATTTTTTTATTCTATAATTTTAATGGTATGCTGTACTTATATTTCTATTTTTATTCTGAATTCTATGTTCTAAAGTTATTCAATGTGCCTGCTAAAAACCGTTTTCACCCCAATAATTTTTGAACGGCCAAGAGCCATAGTCATATAAGTAAGGTTTAGGCAGAGTTGGAAAAAATTAGATTTGCTTGTCTTAAATCCGATTTTTTAAAATTTAATATTTTTTTTTTTATTTTTACATTTACCAACCAAAACGTCTGATAAGATGTATTAATAATACTGAAAAGTAATGTAGTTGACATATACGAACATAGTTAAAAGTATTAAAAACTAATCATTGCATCTAACTAAAAGATATGCATTTTACGCCTTTTATTTTTAACATTACTTGTAAGGATGAGGAAGATCATTGGTAACTGCAACCTTTACTTTATGGTTATTGCACCTGATCTCCTTTGTCAGTTGTCATCTTGAGGAGGAGACTTCACATACATATTTTTTGTGAGTATGAAGTCAATTTTGCTCAAAGATTCGAACATCTGGGACAACATTGCTTTAACTACAGGATGTTCCTGTCGGGTGTTTGCGGAACTTGTTTCAGCTATAAAGCTCTTCTGCTTGCCAGGGTTTGGGTACAATAGACCTTTGGTTGACAAGCCTTGCTCCTCAAGGCTGCCCAACCTCTAAGGGTGATGTTTTTTCTTACTAAATTGATCGCTGAGTTTTACCGCTAGGCTTCTTTGTATTGCGAATGGCAACTTTACTATACTTAGACCCTACTTTTATGAGTAAACTAATCCTTCAAAAACTACCGGGGTGACTACAGATTTTAAGTGGGCACAATGTATATCATTTTAATACTACAACTTTTCTAAAGCATGTTTAAACTAATGAAAGCTTAAATGTAATTTCAGACATGTCTTTGCACAATGAGGTATTATCCTTGGCCTCAAGATTTCCTGATCACTATGTAACATTGCCTTAAAGAAAAAGGAATTCTCATTTTTTTTGTATCATTCTTTTTTTTTTATTCAATAAAAATCACAGTATAAGAAAATTATTTGGCTTTATATTTCTAGCTAATACACTTCAGTGACATGTTTTCCTGTTGCATCCAAAGACATACACTTACACATGCAACCAGTAACTGGACACTCATTGTGATTCCTACAATTGAAAAAGCACAAAAATGAAATATTTGAACATACTGAATAACATTTGATCAAATGAAATGATTCTAAATTCATTCTGATAGACACTATCTCTTATAATGTTTTAATAATTGAGAGGGTATTTTTTTTCTAAAAGTTTCTATTTAGTTTTTTTTTCCCTTCACCCTCTCAATGATACAACTAGTTTTGATTATTTTCTTATCTAAACTTATATTTCTATAAAAAATAATATTTCTTAACAATTGGTTTAAAAAAATGTTGCTATTCGGTCAGGATTCACTATTTGATTCCTATTTTCAGTCACAACATGAATTCTTTTTGAACTTTACAGACATTTGTTTCATAACTTTTACCAGTTACTTAGTAACAACTCATAAGGAAAATAAATAGAGGTGTTATAAAATTATATTTACACCCCCTCCCCCCCAAAAAAAAATCCTGGCGATTACGACGGCCCTAGAATGAGTTTAAAAATTATCTCCATATCATATAATTATAGTTGGAGTGATTTTGTTTTTCTCCTGTTTAAACCTGATGACAGGTGAGATGTGCAATTTTGTTAACCAATTACTAAGAGAATGGTATTTAATAAGTTTTCTGGTGGGCAGAACTTTTTCGCTATTTTAATCCATCTTTAGGGCACATTGAACACTTTTTATAAGCAAACAGTTATAAATTTTAAACTACTATTCCCGTTAAATCTGGTTTAGTCACACACGTTGCATCATAGAAAACAATATCTCGCTTGTGTAGGTAGCAATGTCAAAAATAATACTTTTATTAAACCTGACCCAAAAACAATGTACACAAGAACAATCTAACAACTTCTAAATTTGATTTGGCTTGACTTATTTCAACTTAGTTAAAAAAAAAAATACTACTGTCAGATAGCCTATAATTAAATCAGGTTAGACAATTTGCATCAAATGAAATACTGACCTAAACCATTCCAAGATATGTGCAGAATGGCCACCATGGCGACATGTTTGACACCAAGTAAGCCAGTTAGAAAAATCTGTCATCTTTTTCCTCTCTGCAAGAAGACACAGCAATACTTTTAAAACAAACAATGCAAGTTTAAAGAAAATACAATATTTGTATTAAAGTACTTTTAACTATAAAAAGTTATACATGAAATTCCTTAAAAAGCTTAATGATCAGAATGAAAAATCTTATTTTTATTAGAGTACAGTGAAAAGTTGAAATTCTGGAGATTATTAGGTTTGCCATTCTCTCTGTTGAGGGTGGCCCGAATTCCACTTTAACACCCATTTCATGTTTAAAAGGATTTTGCAGAAACAAGATAATCTACAATAATATATTAATAACATATTAGAAACTCCTGACCTACCATTCCAAGAGATGTTGTGTGATGATTTGTTCAGTGACTAGTTAATATTTTGGAATAATTAAATTTTTCATTCTATTCCCTGTATGGAATTCTGTTTCCCAATTTTAATTTTTAAGGATTTAGAACATTTTTGATAACTTTATTAAAAGCTATTATATCTTTGTAGAAGTTTTAAAAAGGCATAAAAACCTTAATGAAATTGTTCCATAAAATACATTTCAATAAAAAATAACTCCAAAACATTAAATTAGCAACAGAATTGACAAATAGGTTCATTCTAAGTTAAATGGGAAACAAGATAAGTAGAATTTGATGCACAAAAACAAATTGCATGCTTTAAATACAAAAGCCAGTCTTGTTCTGATAGATAATCTTGCTTTTTCCAGCCTTACTAAATCTTATTCTTCAAATTCTGACAATATATAAGGATGGTGTTTTCAGCTAAATGTAAATAACAACAATCTATAGCTCTTGACCTTGTCCGAGGCGGCGATATTTTCAAATAGATAATTTTGTTTTTAATAAAAGAAATAAATTATATAATTTATGACTGCTGTATATAATGTCATAAGATATTAAGTAATTCTGTTGTTTTTGAAGTGAAATTTTGTTTTAGTTATTTAGAGATGTTTTGTTAAAAAAGGTGACATGGTTGCTAGATTTTGAAAGAACTCACTTTTTTGGCAGTTCTGATTTGGCTTCTTTTTACTTATTACTGTTCGTTCTTGGTGCAAGCCGTACACCATCCTACATTAGTGTTTAGCATGTTGTTTTAGCAGGGGAGATTAAGTTCATTTTACAAATTTATCATTTAGGTTTAAATTTTGAAGTTGGTATATTGTTAAGAAGTGCTCTATGACGATCCATTTTTCAAATGACAATTCTTATGTCTTGAAATGACTAAGAATCTTATAATGATTCTTCTTTTAAATACAAATTATACATCAGTTAACAAATACAAAAAATACTTTGCAAGATACAATGATCACGTCGTGAGCCAAATAGTTTCAAAACACACCAAAAACAGTAACCCGGAAGTATATAGACAGTCGAGCTTGCAGAATGGCATTTTGAAACAACTAACAGAAGAAACTCGTAATTTTAAGTGAATTATCTTCAAAATGTTTTAAATAAAAAATATTTTTTATTTTATTTATATTATATTTAATATAAATACTTTAAATTATAATTGTTTAATTCATAATTTTGAAAAGGTGGCCGATTGATTAACGACTGCGAAGCCAATCGATGCTCTTCTCTCTGTGTTGTCTTCTGCTGTGTGAATGTGGCCCACCCTATGAACGGGTGTTTGTGGCAGTGTAATGTTGTTTGCTTCCGTGACTTTGGTTCACAGGTGCTCACTGGGTAACAATAAATGAGCAACACTTCCTTCATCTTCAAGGCGAAGAACAAAAAGCTCAGTGCCTGCCATTATTGAAAAAAATAATAATAATTTTGGAAAACTGTTTCTAAAGTTTTGTCACCACTCCAAGTTCAGTATTACTTTTTTTGTTCCTAAAACTGTTGTGTCATGTCTGTCGTAACTTAAGAAAATAAATAAAATCATACCTTCATTTTCTGCTTGGCGCTGCATAGGCAGTCCTGCAGCAGTCCCCATATGGCAAAGACACAAAGAACAACGTGGTAGTGGCTTTCTGCATCCTGGACAACACGTTATCTGAAATAAATACAGAATTGCAGCTCACCGTCTAATTTTCTGTCCTATTCTCACCAAAATATGATTTTTTTTTTTTAAAATCTCTTTCAAATTATGAAATCTAAGAGAATTTTCACTATTAGGGTTCATACACAATTTGCTGGAAAAAAATTCTCTTGAATTTCCCCTGATCATTTTGTAAAAATAACATACAGCAATACAATACAACAGGGAAGAAAACATAAGATTAATATAGATAGATAAAAAACACCAATAAAATCTTAAAAGCATGAAATGCAACAAGATATATTTGGTTGCATTACAAATGAATATACCGTAGTCCCATGTTTATATATCACCAAATCTAAAAATAATTACTAAATTCCCCAACAGTTAAAAAAACCTCAAACAAAAAACACATACCTTGAAAAAAGTTAAAACCTTTACCTTAAAAAAAAAAAGTGCATTAAAGTAATATAAAATTTCAATAAACTATAAATTCTGAGAATCTTGTGACAAATTAATGTTGAAAAATCAATTTCATTTGCGTTTTGAATATGAAGTTACTAGTTTTTATTTTAAGGATACAAGAATTTTTTTCCAGGTTTTTTTTAGCAAAACTTCACGTTTTTTTTTTTTTTTAAAGTTTGAGCTTATTTAATATATATAAGAAATATTATTAAAAATAAATCATAACAGTACATTTTGAACTATATTATTGTAAAATTGTTTTATAGAAATATATAATACATGAAAAGCATGATTCAAATTTATTGAAAATCGAATGGAAGTTACATTATCATTAACTACTGAAAAACTTGCAAAAATAAACTAGTTTTACTAATCTTAATTTTTAAGAGACTAGTTAAAAAGGAACTGAAAATTTTGCTGCTTTAGACTGAAACTGTTTAGATTAGAATTACTTTTCAGAATCAAAGTATTCTACTCTGTCATATCTTATACTTGAATTAAATGCTCTAGATTAAGTTCCAACAAATAAACAATAAAACAATGCTTAAACGTGCTTATTGTTTTTTAAAAGCCCTTAAAGGTGCTTTTTCATTGGGTGTTTTTAAAAAGTGCTTAATTTTCCATTTTTCAAAATGAGATTTTTCTTTTACTATGTTGATTTTCGCTTCGAATTATGCAAAAAGACACCGTTCAAATTGTTCTATTCAACGTTTTAATAATTAATTCAACCCCAATCTATTTCGGCGTATTGTCAATCCGTAGCGTATGAAAACGCCATTCATTTTACATGATTCAAAATTTCATGATTTTTGACAATTGTCAAAAACAATGCCAAAAGATTTTTTTTTGACATGACGATTAAAACAAGATAAATCCGTCAATTGTCCAAAAACTTTCCAACCCTGCCTAATTATGATATTTTTTTAAGTGCTTAAAAGGTGCTTATTTTTTTTTTTTTTTTTTTTATTTGAATAATTTGACTACGCACCCTGGGTAAGAAAAGAAATATAAGTAGATATTTCGAATGTTCTATCTGTAGTTGAAGAAGCCTTTTAACTGCCTCCCTTACCAATTTTTTTGGAAGAAAACAAAATGCAAAAAATCAACATATTTTTTATTCCATTCATAATTGCAAGGAACTGAAACAAAACATATAATACACAAGTTGAAATTTTAAATTTTTTATGTGTAAAAAATATTTAATTTACCATCAGTTTACTATCTCAGGCAAATGAAAAAAGTTAATTATAAGTCTTTGTATATGTTCACATCTTCATAATCTGAGAAATCATCTGCATTACTTTCACTCGCGAACCCCATTTTTTTACTCTTTTTTTCTATGTAAATTCAGCAACCATTGTATATGGGTCATTCTCACAAAAACAGTCATTTTCATGTCCCCAGTATATTTTATGTTTGTTTTACAGCTTACGAAAAAAAAGTTTTCAGGGAAAGTGTCCTTCAGAATGCAGGCTAACAAAAGAATAAAAATAAAATTATCAATTTTTGTTTTTTATTTATTTTAGGTAATTAAAATATACCAATATGTCATTCCCTCACTTGTCCCCACTGCTGATTTAAAAAAAGAAAAAAAATTTTCTGAAATATAAATTTTAAAAAATTACAAATTCGTGTTTTTCATTTCAGACTATTGAAATATAGAATTCAGAAAATCAATTTTAAATTTAATTTCTGATAAAAATATTAACACAACACTATTTTAAACTTTGTCCCCAGTGTTTCGCGTCATTCCCTCACAACAATCTTCTTAGAATAAAAATATTTTAATAAAAACTTCAGAAGTTAACAACATAGAACAAAATTGCAGTTATTTCCATCTTCAACTTAAAGAAGCTTTGCTGTGGAATAAATTTGAATGAATCAAACCAGGTAAAATTTTTTACATTTGTCATTCCCTCATGTCATTTTTTAGAGTAAAATAAAATAGAACTTTATCGAGAAAGTGGATAATTATATGTTGCTTTCTTGTATGAATATAATGGTATGTGATTGACTTCAGAAATTAATTAGGCCTAACTGTTATTTTTAAATTTTATTGAATTCGTCATTCCCTCACTAGTGTATAAAGTGAGGGAATGACGCTGAAGTGAGGGAATGATTCAAGATGAGTATATTATTAAATTTTTTTTTGTTCAATCGTGCCAGCCAATTTTATTTCCCAAACCTGTAAAAACTATTAAATATATAAGACTAAATTATAATAAATATTAGATATACTTAGTATGTTATCATTTTCAAACTTTAGGTAGATGTAACTTAGATAAAAACATGTATTAAAATAAAATATCATTCCCTCACTATTAGTGTCATTCCCTCACTTTTTAAATAGTGAAAATAATTAATTTACTTATTAATTAATTTGAAAAATAAATTAAAAAATTAATAAATTAATTTATTAAATTAATTAATTTATTTATTAAATTAATTAATTAATTATTAATTATTATAAATTAATTAATTATAAATTAATTATTTAAAAAATTAATTAATTTAAATATTAAGTATAATTTATAGGATATATACTTTCTTTATAATGCCATTACATATTTCTATTAATATAAAAAGTTTCAGAGCTTTTTATTCACTTTACTTTTTTGGGATTTTATGAACTGAAAAATGACAGTTTTCGTGAGAATGACCCATATACAATTGCACAAAACAAGTCTGTAGTCCCCCAAACAGCAAAACTCCCAAACAAAAATTGGCAAACTTCCAATCACATCAGATGATTATTTTATTTTTTTGCTTCCAGCTGAGTAATAACGTGATAAAACAAAACGAATTGACGCATTCTGCTATGCCCGAGCTTACTCGGGATGATAAATATTTGCTATATATACATACCCGAGTTAATTTGGGATAATCAGGGAAGCGCTGTTGGTGCTGTTTTATTCTGCCATGTTTCTTACATTAGTAAATTTCATGCAAATATTTATTCATTAATTCAATTGTCTGAAACTGCTTACTAAATGCTTAGTCTAAATCAAAATAAAATTCAATATTTTTTAGAATTATTTAGTTTTCTGAATTTTTGTACTTTGAAATGTCAAGTTTGTTACACCATCTTAAAACAGACATAAAAACTAGAAACAAACATGGCACTAAAAGCTTTTCTTTTAAAAATTTTGATTTAAATGCAATTAATTTTAAAATTATGTCTGAAGTATTGTTATCTAGAATATATAAAAATAATAGGAATTATTGTTACAAAGATGACAACTTGCATCATATCAATCCAAAAAATTATCAACTATATATAATTTTTTTTTCTTTTAAAAAAAAGAAAGAGCAAAGAGAACATGACAAAAAACAATAAAAAAATGCTTAAACGTGCTTATTGTTTTTTAAAAGCCCTTAAAGGTGCTTTTTCATTGGGTGTTTTTAAAAAGTGCTTAATTTTCTCTTTTCAAAAATGAGATTTTTCCTTTACTATGTTGATTAAATAGTATTAAAAAAATAGTTGTTTAGATTCAAAAATAGCATATTCTCAATATTTTTTTTCTCTTTTAAAATGAACTGAACTGAATTGTTAATACTGATAATATGCAATGATAGTAGACATTTGCTAGAATGTTTTATGTAGAGTGACGTCACTGGCAATGATCGTCAGCGACCAGCCCTTTTCGCTGGGAGTGGCATCATAGCAATTTGAAAGGAGTTTTCAAAATAATTAACTTGTTCAAATGCAATTTAATTATCATTTTCTAGTGTTCAAGCTCTTTCATTTTAAAATGATTTTGAAAATTATGCATAGTGTCCATTTTCATAAATATTAAGGTAAAAAAAATAAATAAGACACGCTACTGCTAACCTTTCTGTTTGCTGAAGAAGCAGGAACTCGATTTGAACCAGAAATAGGACGCAATTGGAGAAAATTGGACACAGATCTTCTGCAAAAGTTGCAACTAACAAAAATCTGTTGAGTTGGTTTGGAGATTTGTGTATTTTTATTATACCAGTTTACATCAAACATTGCTCTGGAAGAGAAAAAACAAATGATTCATAATTGAAAATTTCATCAAATTATTATTTTAGTGTAATTTATTCTATTGATTGATTGAAGACAAACTTCTACAGTAACTGCAATTTCATTATGTATGATAAAATATGCTACAGTCAAACCCCGCTATAGTGAACACGGTTTATAGTGAACTCCCGGATATAGTGAACGAAATGTTAGGTCCCGTGCCTTGCTATACACGTATAATGTTATTTTTTGTGGATATAGTGAACCAAAAAAGTGAGGAAGTTGGATATAATGAACTTTTTTCTGTCTTCAACTGATTTTTTTCTTCATTTTTTTTTTAATAATTTTGAAATTTTTACTTTAAAATAAATACATATACCGATTTTTAAAACCATCTATAGAGGGGAATTTAGCGATAAGCTTCTTTTATCTCACTTTCCCATCCCTAAACAAACCAAGCAGATATTTCCAACCCTGGCAGATAGTGCACCTGTAAGGTGTCAGTGGGATCAATATGAATTTTCTGTCAGGATTGCTCATCAGCTAAAGATTACTAAATTTTTTTTTTTTTTTAAGCAAGACGAAGAGTAATGAAAAATAACACATTTTTCGCTACTAAATAATATTTTTCAGTCATTTATTTAAATAATGTGTAATAAAAGGGAGGAGTTTGGGAACCATTAGTTAAATTGCCTGCGGAACGGATATAGTGAACTCCCGGTTATAGTGAACCAAAATTTCGGTCCCTTGAAGGTTCACTATAGCGGGGTTTGACTGTATATGTTTAACAGGCTATTTGAATGACACTGGAAAGCTGAGTGAATGAAATATGTAAGTGACATTTTCAAAGTGGTTAGAATTGGGGTGAAGCCTGGGCCGTTTTAATAGCAGGCAGGGGAAATTTTTTTAAACATATGCAAATGTTATATATAACATGCCATAATGTTTAAAATCAATCATTTTTAAGATATACAATAATAACAATATTAAACATATTTTGCTTACCCCAAAAACTTAAAGCATTTTTAAACTATGCATAATTTAAAAAAAAAAAAAAAATTTAGATGCTATCTAGTTGTAATCCTCAAATTATAAAATAATTTTCAAAATCACGGAAGTTAATTAAATTATATCATAAAGGCACAACAAATCAAAAAAAAAAAATCACAAGGTAATTTGTCAAACTAAACAGTATATTCTTTTCCTGGATTTTGGCAAAACCTTTGGGGTACAGAGTGAGCAATTTTAGACTTTTGTCATGCTCTTTCGATAGAAAAGGTTTAGCTTTTATGACTTCCGGAGCTGGTACTTCGGTTGTCATATTTATCCATTTTTTTCATATTTCATTGTTTTTCTTTTTAATGCACAAGTTGTATATCTTTGCTACAACCAATGAATCAAGGCGTATTAAATTCGTTAAAATGCACGTATAAAGAGTAATTTATTCTAAAATGTTTAGCAACTCTGGAAACGGAATGAAAGATTTCCAGAAACAATTCCCAAAAAAAGATGCTCTTTTTAGTATTGCGTGGAGTCAATACCCTGATTGGCACAAGGGTCAATTTTTCTAGATGATTTCTTGGTTTTTGCCTGTCTAAAAAAAAAAAAAAAAAAAAAAAAAAAAAAANAAAAAAAAAAAAAAAAAAAAGGAATCACCCAAGAGTTACTTGACATTTGATTGTTTCCCATGATATTAGAACTGACCATCTCATGTCTTGAATTTACCTGTGTGTCCAGAGCATCCAAGTATCTAAAAGTTGTCGATAATTCTCCACCCAAGACTGAGCTCTGGGGTCACGACACACTTGACTTGGAAGTGTGTGAAGAATGATTAAGCTAGCAGTCTGTACATCTCCCGTAGTATCCACATATCTTTGAATCAAAAATAAACCATCATTGGTTAATCCTAAAAATAAAGCAATATTAGAAAAATAGTAAAGCAATATATAGGTTTCTAAAAATAAAGCAATATATAAGTAACTATTATGAGGTAAATTTCTGGTCCATAATCTACTAACTTAGTTTTCTGCCATATCGAAATCACTTATAAAGAAAATTGATGGATATGTTTTCATCTAACTATAAACATTAAAGTCAACCAAATAACCAACCTGTTAATAAGAGCCCGTCTAAATTACCAGTCTCAGTCATCCGGCTTCTCAAACCATCCAAAAATTCTGCAAGCTGGAATTAATTTATTAATTAATAACTGACGGTCAGGATTTTAAATATATTATATAAAAGCAAAATTGAGTTAAAATTTCAATTTAATATTATAAATAAAACGATAATGTTCAGAAAACAGCTTTTCCTTAATCAATGGATGTGTATGCATAATAATTTAATACCTATACATAAAATGAATTTGGAGATATATTTTAGTTAACAATTTATTATAAACCAAACTTTGGAAACAAACAAATCATGAAATAATATTTAAAAAGACATCCTTCATTTTTGATTTAAGCATCAAATAATGTTGCATAAATGTCAAAATTTCTTTTTCTTTGTGAATAATATATAACACACTATATAACACAGAAACACTTTATCACACTATTACACAGAAACACATCATCACACTATAACACACAGTGAAGGATCTTTATAAAGTTTTGAACTAAGCAAAACTTTATTTTCTTGTTTCTTCATAACACTTAATACTTCAGCCAAGCTTGGCTGAAGGAGGGGAGATATGAGCTTTTCCAACAGCATTTTACAAGATGATTGAAATTTTTTCCAAGTCATTTTAATAAGATAAATTTTATGTAAGTGTTTATTTTATTTGGGTGCAAGTAATCAAGGTTGAAATTATAGGTGCATAACATGCAGCCCACAGGAGAATCTGAACAGTAAAAATATTTATTTTTATGCTTGAAAAATAAAAAAGTATCAAAAAATTTTGATTCGCGCATTAAAGATCCCTCACTTTTCACTGCGTTCAGTTTGTACAGATTTTATCGTATATGTGGTTTTTTGATCGCTTTTCAGTGATTGTTACAAAATTCCACATGGTTTTAAGAATTCCAATGTTTTTATTATGATGTGTGAATTTGAAATTTGAGTAATCACTCTTTTACTTGCTTTATTTTTACCAATTTTATCATAAATGCAAGTTACGTTTGATCATTTTTTTGGCAGTTATTACGACTAAATTCCATGTGGTTTCTAAAGTCCCAATACAGTCAAACTTCATTAACCTGAAATAGGCGGGACTATCATAATTATTTCATGTAAGCCAAATTTTGTCGTATCCGATACATCATGGAAACAATTTATTACGTACTATTAAAACATGTTATGTACTACATTAATATATGCAAACAATACTATTATGAACCAAACAAATTAAAATGAGCGATAAATGATAATCAGTGATAAGAGAACGTTATATGCTATTGGATGCAAGCACATAGTGATTCTGAGGAGAGGTAGATCACCTGGTTTTATTTATATAATTTTTTCCTTTAAGCGTACAAACCAGTTGGAGAAATAAAAAAATGAAAAACATGTCAGATTTTACAAATTAATAAAAAAAACTCATAGCAGGATATATTTTTTGATTTCAAGCCATTATTTTAAATTATTAATTTTGCAAATAAAAAAAATTCTATATTCTCTTAAAATAATTATTTTAAAAATTATTATACATTATACATATCACAGCAAATAAGCAATATATAAATTTTTTATTGCCCTACAAAAAGTTTTAAAAAACAACGATGAGATTTAGGTTTAGATAATATTATGTAATGTTCCATTTTACTGATGTGTTCTTTCAACAAGATCATTAAAATTCATTATTATTGAACAACACTAATGAGTGAATATAAAAATGATTTATTTACAGATGATGAAAAACACAAATGAAGAAGAGATACATCATAATGTGAACTTATACAAGCACAGATACTCTAACATCAACAAGTTGTTGTCTCAATTTTATGTGATATGATCACAGTCAAAAAGAACATCTTTAACTAATGATTACTGTTTGCACCAGTTTCTGTGGAAACAGTCTGGTGCATAACTGTCATAATTCCATAAAGTAGTTTATAACTCACTACACTAGATACAATTCATGTAATTACACATATAAGTATGGGAACTTTTGTAACAATAGGAAAAAGAATGCTTTATGAAATCCTATTTTTATGAAAGATTAAATTTTAACGATCACATAAATTTGTTAACTGAACTAAACTATCCAACTATTATAAACTACTCAACAACTAAGGAACTGTTCAACTATTATGAATCCATACTCATATTGAATCAACTATAATGAATCCATAGAATGAAAGCAAATATAAACTTTAAACATACTTTTTTATCATTCAGGTAGAGACAAGCAAATGCCATACGATCTTGAACAACGATTTTATTATCTTTCTGCAATAAAAAAAGTAAATTAATCTATAAAATGTACTGAATTTGTAAAAATTGTTTTCATCACCAAAGACATTCATGTTTTCTTTATAAAACTAAAGAGGATTTAAAAAAAAAATAATAATAAACAGATTACACTTTTTTTACTCCTCAAATGGATTAACTTCTGTTCAATATCATAAGAAAGTTTCAAATGAATTTGCTTCATTTTATTTGAATTATAAGAAGCTTAAAAGTGGATGTAAATAGATAATAGAAATTGAATCTATGTACATTAGGGTGATATTTAGCTTTATGCCATTTTCAACTATTTAAAATTTTGTTGCTCTCACACTCAAGAATCAAGAGAAAAAACAGGGTGTATGAAATTTTATATGAATCAGGCGATTAATTACAGGGTGTATCAAAATAACTACCCTTAAAGAAAAGTCTAAGTAATAAAAAAGTAAAATAACCCAAAAAATATATTTTTCTTATTAATTTCATATATATATATATATCAACAAGTCATTGGACAAGTGATATGTTGTTATGTATGTCCTAAATTGTAATTTTTAAAATAAAAAATTTCATATAACCAGGTGAGACAAATCTTATCACTGTTAAAAACTTAGAAAACTGACAAATGTATCAGATTTTCAATATGAGTCAATAAAGGTTGATTAAACCTTAAAACCATATTTATAAATTGCATTATTGTATTATATCTATCATTGTACGCTACAACTTTATCACAGCTGTATTTATATACAGAAAATAACCAAATAACTGGAAAGTTCAAACAAGCTGAATCTTATTTAAAAAAAATAAATGATGTTAATAATTTAATTTTTTTTTTTCAAAAGATTAATTGGAACAATAAAAAATCTACAGTAAGCAAGGATTTATCCAACCATTCTTTTGTCGTTTATTTTTATAAAATTAAATGAGAAAAAAATATTATTTTACTTATTTCACTTTATATGTGCACTTTTAGGATCAAAATTATCATAGGTTCAAATAAATTAAAAGTTAAAAATAATATTTTTCATGTTTGAAGATTTTAAAAATCAGAGGAACAACAAAAGGGAATATTTTTTTGAATGAATATTCCTTGATAATGAGTTTAATGATAGGGTGGGAGTGGTGCACCTTGGTAATGTCCTAGACGGCTAAGAGATCTAAAAATTTTCGGCATGCAGTTCACACTCCAAGTAGGCCATGATTGCCTGGCCGCCGATTGAACAGCCGACCCAATTTTGGGCTTACGACTACTAATGTTAAATTCTGTAGCCTTGTCATTTTTAACCCAATCTAGAAGAAAAGGGAACTCCTGTATCAAGTAGAAATTATTATTAATATATAATAATTATTATAAGTATTAGTAGAAATTTTGTGAAAAACTTTTTGATGGAACTAACCAACATTTGCGTTAAATAGTGAGGAAAACCACAAAAACCTGCCACGGTTAGCCTGACGGCAAAGGGACTCTAATCCACGATTCATATACCACTCAGGTTATTTTACACCAGCACTGTGGTCGGTGCAAGCTAGATGCGGAATTCATATCGAGCAACCATCGCCAGGATTCGAACCCGGTTCACCTCATTGGAAGGCGAACGCTCTATCCCCTGAGTCATCGCGGCTCAGAGGAGAGTTATTATAACCATCGTTGATCAGCCGACCCAATTTTCAGTTTTACGACTACTAATGTTCAATTTCGTAGACTTGTAATTTTTAACCAATCTAGAAGACAAGGTAACTCCTAGATCAGTACCCCCAGAGGTATGATTTGTTATGGGAACATGGAGGACATTGAGACTCAACAGATTTAATGTGCATCAATCAGTCACCATTTACTACACGGGGAGTCTTCGGTTGGCAGGGATCGAACCCATAACCTCTTGGACATAGGCCTAGTGCCCTACCAACCAGGCTATTCTGGCCCAATTGCCCACTTTGCGGAAGCGACGAAATCATGGACAGGAACCATTTGTTGGGATGAAGGGCTCTGCGGTGAAGCGATACTGGAGCGCTGGACATTGACTTTTTTTAAATCTTATTGTGTTCTTTTTTTATTTCCGTTCTTTGTTAATTTTACAAGAGTTTGTCATTTTCCTTTGCCATTGAAAACAAAAAAAAAAGTTTCACTAATTGTGTGCAAAAATGTTTTGAATTACTAAAATAGTTAATCTCATAATTTGAGTAAATCACATAATTTGAGACTAACCAATATTTCCTCATATGCATCGTTATCTGCAGTCAAAAAGGCAAACATGGCCCTGAGGTAGGAATCTGTTAACTGTGACTTTAATGCACCGCTCACTTCTCTCCATAAACCAGATCGCTCTTCAGTATAACCTGCCAGTGCCATGGCTATAGCATTTAAATCACAAGAACCTAAAAGTAAAAACCCCTTTAAAAGTCGCATTTTAAATAAATAGATATTCAGCATGACAATAAGATTTAACAAAAGTAAACAAGTTCTTAGTAGAATTTCTTGAACAAAAACGTTATTATTTGGCAGAGTTGCCATTGAATTCTAGAAGGAAAAAAATTCTCTGTGTTTTCCCCATTATAAACAATATATTAAAAGGAAATACACAATCACTATGCTCTTGTCTGAGCTATATTAAGCTAACTATACTAGTTTTAATTGCCGGAAAAACATCAAACACAAATAAAATCCCCTGTATTTTACCAGTTTTTAAGGAAAGACTCATTTTCCCTGCTATTTTTGGTAATTTTTAAATTCCCTGTCTTTTTCAGGTTTTCCCTGTTCTCCTTATGGAGTGGCAACCCTGTTGAAGTGTCTTGATAATAAAAATGTTATTAATTTAATATCTTTCTAATAAAATAATTATGTAATAAAATTTTTCAAATAATTTTAATAAAAAGTCTTCCTTTAATGCCTTGAAATACACAAGATGATGTTCAAATTTATATGTACTGTAAAAATGTAAATAATTTTAATAAAAAGTCTTCCTTTAATGCCTTGAAATACACAAGATGATGTTCGAATTTATATGTACTGTAACGTAACAGGCATATTTTAGAAAAACAAAGCTCAGAGCGGATTTTATCAAAAAATTCATGGAGTTTTAATTAAAAATTTTAATCAAGCTAAGCAAGAGCTACAATGCTTTCTTTTATTATTATTTTTTTTAAAAAAGGGACTAGTTTGTTTGTTTTTTCAATTGAGAATGCATAATTACCAATTTAAGAAGTTCTGTATAAGTTTTGAAATAAATTTTAGAGCTTGAGTCGTATTTTATGTTAATTGTAACATTACAGTTAATAACATTAACCTTAATACAGTTATAAACATTACAGTACAATGCACTTAAATAATGCTACACCCAGAATGTTTTTTGACTGAAGCTAAGGAAATCTATGCGAGGGGAAAAAATTGTACACAAAACTGAGTTCAGGGTTTAACATTGGACAATGTGTGATGCGTCCAGCCTTTTAATTGTTTTGTTTTCTATGTAAATATTTACCTCAACTTCAAAAATCAACTTGTGAGAGTTTTTTGAACCAGGAAAGAGGTTCAATCAGTTCTGTTGCGTAAATAGATCTGCTTGTTTGTGAGGAACAAGCATACTTAAAAACTGGTGTTTACTTAGATTTGGAACAAAGTTGAGGCAAATATTTATGTTTTGGTTATAAGCTTGGTTAACTTCTCCCCTGTGGCAGAATTTTCTCGGACTTTCTGCGATATCTCTCTCTAATACTAATATCTTTCTGCAAGATACTTTTAAAAATAACAAATATACATGTTTTTAATTTTAAGTAACAGAAACGTCAACTTCAAAACAAAAAAAATATTCAGATCAAATAAAATAATTTTTTAATTGAATGTGTAGTATTTTTTTATTCTAACATTATAGGTGATATTCTCGCATTTTGTTGGGGAAAAACATAGTAATTATTTCCTTTTTTGCATTTTGTAAGTCATCATCACATTAAAAAATAATTTAAAAAATCATGAAATAGGTAGTAATAATTACCGAAAGAAAAAGTTCAATGGCGTAATCACGGAATCGGACTCTTCGAAAAGGGGTTACTAAATGCGTATTTTCATTTCGAGATTCAGTTTTTTAATAAATAAAACCGTATTAAAAATATCGGATTTTAAAAGTAATGTGAAAATTAATAGTAATAACTGTATAAAAAAAAATAGAACGAAAATTTCTGCAGAAAAGAAAGCCAAATTTTTTACTTCAATATTCTTTAGTTTTCATTATTCTCAAAAGAGAATAGAAAAATCACAGGCATTTTTTTTTCACCCGATGCGTGAGAAAGACATCTTTTGAATATAAAAATAATTTTTTACTTCCCAAAAGAAAAATCTTTCTGTAAAAACTCGGTAGCTTTCTGTGACAATGTCGCCCCGATTCTGCCGCAGGGAACTTTGCTAAGTAACAAAATGAAGATAATATGTTATCTCTTTAAAAGGTGAACTATGAAACCTAACATTAAACTATATACAGTACCAAAGATTTTTTCATAATAATTCATGCCTGTCAATAACAGCTCAACACTTACTCCTAACAATGAGGTAAGAAAACTTTCTGGGAGAGAGACTTTAACATTAATGAAATTCATAAACGATAAATAGAAAATAAGTGACTTGAAAAACTATGCACATACTTTTATGACTTCGAGACAAAGCTCCCTTGCTTAAAATTTTAATGCCACGACGAATTTCCAGATTAAAAACTGCTATAGCAGCAGCTCTAGCATAATGACCATCATTTTCAAGCCTAAAAATACAATTACACAAAAAGATGACATATTTTGCATTTCAAAATAAATTAAATTTGTGTTGCAGATTTAATTAGAATACCTTTCCAGAAATTTATACAGGGCAACTGAATCTAAATCAGCACCCCAGCCACAAAGTTGTAAAGCTCTCTCTCTGAAACAAGAAAAAAAAATATTATTTACAAATTTTTTAAATAAAATTGTTGCAAATGTAATATTTTTTTTTCAGTAGTAAATGGTGGGGCAAGGGGGGCATTAGGTCTGTTGAGATGGTGCTAGGAGCCAGTATATAAAAAAAGATAATATAAAAATTTCAATTTCTTTATAAAACTTACTTTGAGCATTATTGGTTCAAAAATCATATAAAAGATAAACAAGGCACAGATCTTGAATACAGTTGTCTCAAGATTCCTAGGGAATGGTGCAAAGAAAAACTCTTCAATAACAAGCTATATGAATAAAGCTAAACAATATGAAAGGGCCGGGATAGCCTGGTTAGTAGGGCACTGGGCCCATGCCCAAGAAGTCGTGGGTTCGATCCCCGTCGTCCGAAGACTCCCCGTGTAGTAAATGGTGAGTGATACACGATAAATCTGTTGAGACACCAAGACACCTCTGGGGGTACTGATCCAGGGGTTTCCTTGTCTTCTAGATTGGTTCAAAATTACAAGTCTACGGAGTTGAACATTAGTAGTCATAAACACAAAATTGGGTCGGCTGTTCAATGACGGTTATAAAATAAAATAAAAACAATATGAAAGAGCTGTGGTGGCTCAGGGGATTGAGCGTTCGTCTTCCAATGAGGTGAACCGGGTTCGAATCCCAGCGATGACTGATTTATATACGAATTGCGCACCCGACGTGCACAGACCACAGTGCTGACGTAAAATATCCTCCATGGTAGATGGATCATGGGTTAGCTATTAGGCTAACCCTGGGATGTTTTCTTCTCCATGTAACGCAAATGCGGTTTAGTTCCATCAAAAAGTCCTCCACAAAGGCAAATTTCTCCCAATACTTGATTCAAGAGTTCCCTTGTCTTCTGGATTGAGTACAAAATTAAAATGTTATGGAGTTGAATATTAGTAGTCATAAACCCAAGAAATGGGTCGACTCTTCAAAGGCGGTTATAAAAATAAAAAAACATGAAAAAAACACAAATGATGCCACATACATATAGCCACCACCTATAACTAAATCTCACTGCTTTACTATAATAATATTCAAAATAAAATTTTACTATTTGAATTACGAAACAGAAAAAAAATTAGAACTTGAAGAAAAAACTTAACCAAAACTACTTTTTAAACTAAGGAAGGGGAAAAAATCCCTTTATTAAGAATATTATTCATCAAAAAGAAGCTCATTTGGCAAGATTTATTTGCATTCTAAAAATATAAATAAAATTTTTTTTTAAAAAAATGAAAAAAATTTGATTTTTTTCATTTTATTGATTATACTGTGAGCATTAGTTTAATGACTATTTATTTATAATTGACAAGTTTAGATCTTACAATAAAAAAGATTACCTTTCTTCACATGTGTATTTAATTATCCTGCAATCTGAATTGATGCCAACCCAAGAGACACGCCTTGGTTCACTTTGACTAAAGGCAGAGGAGTCATTCTCCCCACAAATAACAGAATAAACCCCTTCATACTTGGGCTGCTTTTGATGGCGCTTTTTTGTATCCACTTCATATGTTTTGACAATTACACAATCATTAAGGACAGAACACTGTTTAGATGAAACTTTTATTTAACCACAATATTTAAAGTCATCTTATAAAGAAATGTCATTGATCAATTTAAGTTCTAATATAAAATACTTTAAGTACAACATACTTAAGCAGATTTTATTAGAATACTGAAGGGAAATACATTATTGGAAATTAACCTAAAAGAATATTTAGATGGTTTTTATTCACTTCATTTTATAAAGAAAAAGTGAAATAAGAGATAAAAACAAATGTAAAGAAAAGAAAAGCAGGGGTGTCTGACATAAAAATAATTGATCATTAATTAACAATAAAAATATTTATTATTTTCAAAATAAAAATAGATTATACAAATGAGACTTAGAATCTTGCTTTAAACAGAAAATATAATTTTATTATTTTAAATCATAGTGGCACAATACAATTAATTATGTATTTTGGTGTCTGGTGTAAAATATCAAAAGTGCATCTTGAGGATTTTTTTAATTTTTTTGTAAATCAAAATGTGAAATGTTTCTACACATTTGTGCCTGATAACCTCAGATTGCTGTTAGCAATTATAAGAAAATGGGTGATTTTTGGCCTTGTTGAGAAAAAATAATTCTCCGATTTTATTAAATGGGAGTACAAAAGAAAAAGAGAGCAATATAAAATCTACTATTAAAACATAACCCACTAATTTTTGGAGAATATTATAAAGTTAAAAACGCTAAAACATTTTGTCAAAAGAAAAAAATATTCCAAAGTATAGAAATAAACTTGAATGATAAATGGATTCAGTCCACAGACTAGAAGAAAAAAACCATACTTTTTAAAACAGAAATAACTATTCTATCCCCTTCTTCCACCTCCAAAGCAATCTTTGCCTATCCTAAACTGCAAAGTCTCCAAAGAGGTCAAAGGTTCTCCATTCAATTAGCAACCATAGGAGAGTTTCATGTGGCATTCTAGTTTAATAGGGTTATGATGGAGCAAATTTTATTCAGCAAAGTATTGCTAAGTTGATGATATTTCAACTGTTAGGCGATAAATTTCTGCTTAAAAATAAATAAGTGGGTGCAAAGGATGGTAAAATAATTAAAATTAAGAAAAAAATTCCAGCTTTTCTTAAAAATTCCCTGATTTATCCAAATATCTCTGACTTTTCCAGATTTTTATCCAGTATAAAGAATTTTCTGAAAATTCCAGGTTTTCCTTGTGGGTGGCCACTCTGTAGAAACAACAGATTGATTTTTACTGCAATGGGAAATGCAAAGTCAGGCATTTTATAAGAAAATGTCAACAAATTTTTTTTTATTTGTCCAGTATTCTTCTGGAAATAGGAGCTTTGTAACAGCAAAGTTTGAAATTCCAGCATTCAATAAAATGTTAAATGACAAAGACCAGCAAAGTTTGAAATTCCAGCATTCAATAAAATGTTAAATGACAAAGACCAACAAAGTATGAAATATTATAACTAATAAATAATTTTATTTTTTATGATTATCATTTATTATTGGGTAGACAATAATTTTTTGCTGCTATATGTAAATTCACATTCTTTATTTTCTTTAATAAGAAAGTTTTGTTTTGGATAACTAGACTTATTTTGAATAAAGACTTTAAGACACACAGCTTTTTATTATATATATAATACATATTATACACAATATATTAAGAGGAAACACAATTACTGTACTCTTGTGTCAGCTATATTGGGCTAACTATACTAATTTTAATTGAGGAAAAAAAGGACAGCTGAACACAGTTAAATAATGCTACGGTAAATGAAATAGTTTAGTACAACTGAAATATCATACATAAATATCCCATAAGTTACGCTTTGAGTAGTCACCATTTTTTAAAACATGAAAATAAGAAGCAAAATTCCCTGTATTTTCCCAGTTTCTAAAGAAAAACTCAAAATTCCCTCCATTCTTTCTGTTATTTTAGGTGATATTTTAATTTCCCTGTATTTTCCAGGTTTTTTCTGTGGAGTGGCAACCCTGTTGTATACATTTGATATAAAAACAGAATCGTAAACAAACTTTTAAATCATGAAAAGAAAAAAAAGAAATTGTGCAATTATTGTAACAAAATGTAAGCATAAAAATGTGAAATGTAAAAAGGATATGATCTAACCACATCCAAACGCCTGTGAGGTTTGGATCATCAGCAAATTCGGCATTAGATCTTACCTTCTGCATCTAAAAAGACATTATCACAGAATTAGAAAAATGATAACTTAATTTAGTTATTTCTTACTTGGGAATCTTTTAACAGATAAAGATTATTATTTTTTTTTTTAAATATATAGGCTTCAATATTAATGAAGGATGTAATTAACTTTAAAAAAAAATTGCTTATTCATCTTGCAAAGAATTGTTTCTAAAGTTTTGAAACAATAAAATATTCTGTTGAAAATAACATTTTCGGTTTTTAATGCATTATCTAAAACAAAAGACAAAAATTAAATTAAAAATTGTCATAACACTGTATAATTTTAAATGTATAACTATAAAAAATATGTGTAAGGGTTAGATTTTTAATAGTGGCACCAGAGCTGTGCAGGTGCCATGAAACAGAATCAAGCAATGTCAATTCATGCTGCTCAAAATTATAGATGGTTCATTGGTCTGAGACCACTAAAATTGGACTGAGTACAATAACATTATTATCAGTGAGCCCAAAACACTGACAAACTATGTAAAGGGATAGTATGCAGTTTTTGGTTTAATTTTTAATCCCTAAAAACTCTTATATATTGTATCCTCAACAATATTCATTAATTGAAAAATCATTTACTTTGGAGAAACATCAATTGCTTACGTTTACAAGGGTCAAAGTTAAGAGGTTAATTTCTTCAGCAAACACAAGAATTCCTAGAATTGTGATTTTGGAAAGTTGCAAACATTCATAATAGAAACTCTATTTACTTAGAAAAGTTAAAAAACGAGCATACCTTTAAACCATACCCCTGAGAGGCTCTTTTCCTCATTTTAACCGAGATGTCATTGAGGCACAAATAAAATTCATCTCTGGAATCCACGCACTGCAAGATTTTTTTCCCGTGCGTCCAAACAATTTCTGATGTTGGTGACCAATTCTGTTGCACAGGTGGACAGAGAGAAAAACAATAAAATGTGTACAGATTTAAATACACAATGAAGAAAAAGATTATACTGAGAATGAATCATAAATAAATTAAACATTAAAACTTGCTGTAAGGCTGGGATAAGTGGGGTTTTTTGAAGAAAGATCCCACTTAACTTAGAGTCTAATGAGCCAGGGACCGAGGGTGTGCACTATTGGTCCTCGTTAAACTATTCTACCATAAAGTGCTCGACTTCGGGTGCAGGTCGTCGGGCTACCGAAGCGGAGGTGCCATCCCCTCTGCTTAGGATCAAAATTGTGATGGCATGTCTTCGGATCATCATCAGGGATGCTTCCCAGACCATCGCCAATAGCCCATTGTGCAGCTTTAGTGCGACACAAATGAACAACAACAACAAGGGAGCCAGGGACATTCAAATTTTCTTTTTAATAATTACAATTTTCTTAAAATTTCCTTTTACTATTTTAAATTTGAAAACATTTTTTTAAAGATAAAAATGAAATAAAAAAGAAGTCAGCAATTTTTATATTTTTAGGGGCCCCCCTCATAGAAAAACTTCAAATAAATTAAAATTATGAAGTTGAAAAATAAGATTTATTTATACAATTTTAGATGATTTTTTAAGGGGGATTATTTAATATTTTAGATGATTATTTCGTTAAACTCAATTTTTGAGGCTGAAATCGGAATAAGAAAAAAAATAATGTATTTCAATAAGAGACAAAATCACATCTAGGGTCCCTAGTTATTCATTTAACTAGGAAAGCCTCAGAAAAAGAATATTTAAAGGGCTCAGAAAAATGACTTGTCCCAGACCCTTTAAAGTGAAAGATGATTCTGAAAATACGAAAAAATGTATGATGATTGCTTAGCAAAGTAAATAAATAACCTCCCTTTATATAAGATTCGGTAGCTTTTCATCATTGAATGATAAAGAGTTGTTCACTCTTTAAAAAAATTCTGTAACACAAATTTAAATTCATTCCTGCACATTTAAATTCAAAAAAATTAAAAAAAATAAAAAACTTAATACTTAAACTGGCCAATATGTTTAGTATAATTTACTTAAAATTAAATGATTTTTTCTTCAATAAAAGTAATATATATATATATATATATAAATATATCATTTATTTTCCTAGTTCATTTCAAAGCATTTAATAAAAGAAAATTGGGAATTTAAACATAATGAGTTAGGAAGAAAATTTTAACACAGGAAAATTCTAAGTAACATAATCATGTACAGTAGGGAACCGATTATCCGGAACGATCGGGACCATCGCTATTCCGGATAACTGATTTTTCCGGTTTTCTGAATCACTACAAAAAGCCGTTTTTTTATGTTTNGTAACATAATCATGTATTTGAATTCTCTAATATTTTGAATTAAAAACAGTTAACTGTATCAGGTATACTTTAATAAATCAAAATAATTAAGTTTTTTTAAAATTTTAATTAACAATACAAAATTATATAACTACAAAATTATATAAGAATGAATGCAAATGAAGATTCTTACCAAGGTGATACGATCTGAAATTTTATAATCAATAAGTTGATTGTTCTGTGAGATTCCAAGCATTCGATTTTCGTGAGTTGGATGCCATGCAAAAGACAAAGCCGAATGGGAAGGAAATGCTGGGGGAAAAAAGGTTATTTGTTATGAAAAGTTGTTGGATGATATGAAACTACTTGAATCTATACACTCTGTATTGCAATGTCACAACTAATAGTAAAACCAACCTTTTATGGTTTTATATCAAAACTTAATACACAACTCTCAAATAAAGAAAAGTTTTTTAATCAAAAACAAAACTACTATCATCAACAAAAAAAATGAGGCAAAAATTAAAATTAACCATAAATTAAAATTTAAAAATTTTCTATGATTAATAAATTATCTTAGTTCAAAGAAACCTCTTTTTTTTAACAATTAACTATCCAAGAAACAATACAAAAATATCACTTTTTTTCATAAATAACACATATAATATAAAACAAACTGACACATTTAAAAGATTTTATTTCCACTCACGCTGGATAATTCTTTCGACTAAAGCTGGCTCCACCTCATCATTCCCAATAGGAGACTGAATATCATACAAATTTATGGAGGAACTATCTTTGCAAAGCACTGCTAAAAGCCCTGACCTGAATGAATAAGATAAAAACAGTATTATAAATTTAAAAAAAAAAAAAAAAAACTAAAATTAGTAAATTTTAAATCAATTGATTTCATTTCAAACATATCAACTATTCAAAAATATCAACTAAAATATTGAACTGATTCAAGAGACTGAATATTCTATATCTATTAAGATGGTAAATAACATAATCTATGTGAATTGATATTTTATTTTAGTTGTAATTTGTTTAATTTAGGTCTAAGAAATAGAAAACCCAGTAAAAAGTATGCAAATTACACCGAAAGAAAGAAGAAAAGGGTTTCCTATAGAATCAAGGTAAAAAAGCTCCAAACGTCTTTTTCTTTCTTTTTTTTTGCAAAAATAAACCATATAAATTTAAAACGACAAATTTAAATTTCAAAACAACTAAAGCTTTTAAAAATAAGTAAAAACATTTATTACAATTATTTAACACAAAAGTAAATGAAGATGTGCCAACTTTCCAAACTAGCTATCAGTAGTTAGAAGTACATTATCACAGAAATATAGTTAATAGAAGTTAGTGATAATACAATTTAAATCAGTATAATTTTAAACTGATAAATTACTAAATTCTATGCAGGTGTAAAATAGTAACAAAACTATGCATAATTTCGCTACAAGATAAAAAAAAAGTTACACTTAGGCCAAAGTACAAAATTAAAAAATATCTGAAATTTCATATTCATTTCTAAAGTGATAAATTTATAACTTGGAATCATTGTTCTAGTTTTTGATTAACTTTTAAACTATCCTGCATTGTTTTTTTAAAAACAGCTCAGAGGAAAAGATAAGATATTGTTTTTAACTCTTCTTGTTACTTTTTATTTCTTACTTATATGAAATCATTTTTATTCTTTATTTATTGCTTTAGTAGGAAAAAAAACAGCTTGACTGCAAAAAAAAAAATTCATATCACTATGGAGTTATAGGTAAAAACTTTGTTATAAACAGAGCATTAAGAAAAAAAGCTGTAATTTTTATTACTCAACAAAAAAAACTTAATATTTACGATAAAATTGTAATGATTACGGATAAACCTCAATAGTTGGTACCTTCGTAAGTTGCAAGAAACTTATAAAATTATTTACCTCGTAGGAGACCAGGCAAGTTTGACAATTGGTTTAGGACGGGTAATGGTAACAACCTAAATTTCAATTTAAGGAAACATTTTCTTAAAACAGTTTCAAGATATAAATAGATATTATCCAGTGATCGTAACAATATTTGCCTCCTATTTATCAGTAATCAGTGATATCAACCAGAGATCATCACAATACTTGCACATTATCACAACAATATCGATCTTATAATCATAATTTTTTTTTAAATATTTCTTCTAATAATGAAAAAAAAAAAAGATTTATGAGCATAATTACATTTTACATTGTATATAATTAGACTTCAAATAAAACTAAAATTTTAAGTTAAATACTAGTTTTAAATATCTACTAGGTAAATTAAACAAAAAATGAATAAAATTTTCAATTGGATACATACATTTGATAATAATTTGGCATCTTGATATGCTATCAATAACAGTTGGGATATTGGACTGACAGTTAATCCAAACTTAAAAACCAATATGTAAGCAGAAATTATAAGTTCACGTAATGTTTAAGCATGAAGTTGAAAATATTTAAAAACAGGTAAAAAAGAAACAGATTTTTTCCCACCAATAACACAAATATCCAGTTCTTGTCTGTATATCACCGGCTGGACAAATGGAAAATTTTTCACCAAAAGCAGTATAATATTTTTCCATAAGCCAATGAAATAAAGTAGGTTTTAATTCTCTTATCACTTGATACTTTTATATATATTAATACTTTTATATATTTATTTACATTTTTTATACATAACTTTTTTATCACATATTTTTTTTAACTGATTTACATGCATTTTATGTCTGAAAACATTACATTCATAAATGGTGGAATTGTCCAGTTGTTTGCTCTTCCACAATATCAAATACTACAGTAGTTTAAAAAGTAAAGAAGATATACAACCTCATTAAGAATTCAAAGGTTTAAGAAAATTAAACTAGGCATTATTACACTTTCCAGTCATTTGTTCTTTCTTACGATTTAAAAATGTTTTAAACTAATTTATTGTTTTTATTGAAAAAGATAATAAAAAGTGAAGGATACGGGCTTTTCAAAATTCCGTACGTCCCAGAGTAGAAAATTGCACTGAAAAATTAATAATATGAACATAAAAACTTGCTGATACAGGAAAAAGAAAGAAAACATTCAAAAATGAATAATATATTATTTGTACTTTTATACAGTACAAAGTCCCATATCCGGACTTCAGCTTACCGAAATAGTCTCTTTTTTTTAACAGTTCTTAACAATCAAAATAAACAAAACTTTTCCTTTTTCAAGAAAAAAATATAAATATTTATTTTTTCTTACACTTGTATTTTCACTGTTTACACTGTATTATTTTGTTTTTTATACTTGTATTTTTCTCACGTTTCGTATAAAAGGATTATTACCGCTACCAGTCACACACTCAGTTTTAGAGAGCGCAAAAACTTCACATTTTAAAAAAATTTCAGATTTACGCAATTACAAAAGTTTCAAAAATAACGCAACAGTGCAGTGTTGATTTTAATTGATGTTAATTATTGACTTTTTTTATTTATTTAATAAGGATGTTTTAATGTATGTTAACCTTAAAGACCTATTATCCAGAAAAAACTACTTTCCGGCCTTGCCGAAGACCCGGAAATCTCGGATATGGGACTTTCAACTGTATATATACATTTTGTTACACTGTATACATACATTCATACTAACAATTTTTTTTTTAAATTTGCACTTATTTCCAGTTGTTACAGATCAAAGAGAAAAAGTTATTTACCACTAAAATCAATTATTAATAAATTTTTGAATGAAAAGAAAATTCAATTTTTTTTTTTTAAATTTCATATTTTAGTACAAATATAATTCCAATAAACTAACAGATTTTTTTAGTAACTATTGGACTGTTTTCTTAAAATATTTAAAAATTTTTGCTGGTAATTAGAGTGTCAGAAATACAAATATATTTATGCATAGACTTTGATGGTAAAAACTTATTGGCCTGTTCTGGGCTGTAGTACAAAAGAAGAAGATAAAGCTTTTTAAAAGAATTAATTTATCTTCCCCATTATATTCTCTAATCTGAAAATTTAAGGCACATTTAATTTTTGTTTTTAAAATTTATTTAAGTTTTAAAATGCTTTGGGACCATACAACTTCAAAAATTAGTACAATCGGCCAGAATAAGCGGGGGGGGGAGGTACAAATATTGATTTAGCTTACATCAAATGAAGAGGCTAATCTATGTTCCACTTCAGGATCTCCACATAGATTGAATGTCGCCCTTGTCAGTGTGCTTTCAGGATGCTTTGAACTATCTAGAAGAATTAAGAGGATACGACATAGCAGTTTTTGAAAAATGAAAGGTATACTTAGTGCAGTAATGTTCAGAGACATTTTTTAAAATTACAAATAAGACTATAATAAAAATTACTATTTAAAGGAGTAATGATACTACATAAACCAAACTAAAATAATATTTTGCATTAACGTATTTAGTCATTTCATTGAAAGTTATATGATTCTTTTGTTGATTGCTTAAAATAGTCATCACTTATTAAACTTTCAATTGCAATCCTTTTTTACAATATGAAAACTTAATAGTCTGTTTAAAGCTGTAATTTGTATAATATTTTTCAACCAGAAAATATTTTGCATGAGTGTTTCACTCATTTTGAATCTGATTAAACATTTTATTAAAAATTAATTTGTAAATGTCTCATTTCACAATTTAAAAAAATCTATAATTATTACATTTTTAGTTGGCTGAAAATCCTTTTACATAAACTGTACAAAAAGATTGATTCAAATTATTGAAACAAATAAGAGATTTAATTTCCTCACATAACAAAATTTGAACTTGTAAATATAGGATTGATAAAAAAAAATCTGCATAATTTAGGCTTTTTTTAAAAATTTAATTTGAAACTTACACAATACTTAAATGAAATAAATCCATAATTCTAAATATCATATCAGTGAATGTATAATCTAATCAGAATATTAAAACAGATTATCTCAGATATAAAACTGGAAGAGCAGTAGCATTTTAAAAAATATTACTTAAATCCTTTTTTCTGTTTTACTTCTAATGAACGTATTTTAGTGAATAAAATTATATCAAAGCCCAAAATAAAAAAAATATTTCAAAAAACTTAGGTTTTCGAATTTTTGTTACGGAAGTACTGCTAAATTGTCGCACCTGCCCGAAAAATTGTTTTAGGTGTCGAAAACTGGAGAGACTACTCTTTATTCTTCCTCAATGAGGATAGAAAAGAAAATTCTTCACTTTTTCTCTTGGCTTCCATTTTAATTTCTTTAAAAAGAAAAAAAAATCCACATTGTCTAGCTAGCATTTTATTATTACCATTTGAATTCTGGGACAAAAAAAAACTTTTGCAGATGGTATGATGATATGCAGCATCTGCTGCTAGGCTGGAGGGATTCTGCTACCGGGATTATTGTTATATACAAATGATGATATAATATATGAATGATGTACACAGCTGGCCAAGTGGTTAGCATGCCTGACTGCAAAGCCAATGGCTGTGGGTTCAAATCCCTCTCAGGCCATGGATGTTTCTACGTGTGTTATCCTCTGTTATGTGCGAATGTGAACTACCTTATCTATGGCAGTGTGGCATGAATAATGTTGATCGCCTCTGTGACTTTGGTTCACAGGTGCCCACTGGGTAACGATAAATGAGGAAAACTTCCAGCATCTTCTAAGGCGAAGAACGAAAGTTTAGTGCCAGTCATTATTTAAAAAAAAAATAATACAAAATATTTGTACACTATACATATGTTTATACATACATACCCTAGCAGCAAAATACCTTGGGCCCTCATTGGACCAATATTCACGAATCTTGGCTCAATAAGTATTCAAGGGGCCGTTAGTTTCAGACATTGACCTTATATAGATGTGTCCGATTCACCCAATATTTTACAGTCACTTTACAACCAAAATCGGCATTATATAGAGCTTTCAGGTTCACCTGATATTTTAGATTCATTATTCAACCAATATAGGCCATATATTGGCTATATATAGGCCAATATTGGCCCTATATACGACCAATATTAAAAAATCTAGATATCCCAAAATTGGTCCCTCGGTGGAAGTTCATGTAGGACTCATATCATGTAGGACTCAACCAACGGACCACGGGCCACATAGGGCCCGTGGGAGCTTCTGAACGCAATGAGCTTTTTTTCCAAAAAATATTGAATTTTATTTTGCACTATAATGGATTTGCTGAATTTTTAGTTTTTGTTTAAATATTAAAAATTTTCTTTAATAAAAATATTTAACTAAAATTTATATTACTCTATAAAATATGTATATCTTTTTTCTTTGGTTCGAATTTATACTTCCCCCCTTTGTATACATATATATTAATAGATTAATTATTGTGAAAAAAAGTTTTTTTTTTAAAAAATATAATTTTTTTATTTTTAAATAAATTCAAATAATTAAAAATATTTAATTTTCAGCAAATTTGTTATTAAGTTTACTGATAAAAAACTTAGTGCTTAGAACACTAATGTTTACATAAAAATTATCATACTTGCAGCTAATATGACTAAACATGCGAGTGGCCCTTCATTAATCTACCTGCAGTGCAAGTAACCCTTCATTAAAAAAAGGTTGTGCACCCCTGTGCAAGGGTATATTTGTATACTATAGAAATAATGCAATTTTTTTCTAGTTCTCGGATAAGGCAAACATAAATCATTTGATGGTGAGAGTTATGCACTGATTAAGACAGCTTACCTCTAGTATCATACAGTTTAAGAAATTTGCCACTCATTCCACAGACAAAGATATGAGGATTTTTATGAAACCAGTAAGCAGAACAAGCATTTTCAGACAAACCTAAAATGAAACATTTTAGACGATAATACTGCAAGTAGTTGAGGGTTTTTATAAAAATAGTTAAATCATAGCAATACTATCAGCCTTAAATATTTATTTTTACGGAGCAAATTTTTACCCTATTCACTATGGACATAAATTGAAATACACAAAATATGTTTACCTAATTCTAGTACAGGTTTAACAGTAGTGTTAGTGGAGTCATAGGCAGAAAATACAGAGCGTCTATCATAATTAGTGACAGCATCAATTGTGCTAGATGAGTAGAGAGATCTTGTCACATCCCACAAATAGATGCCATTGTCTCCTCGGGATTTGTCAAATCCAGATAAAAGCTGGAGAAAAAAAATCTTTGTCATTCATTTATAAGTTGCATTTAAAGGTAAATGCATCATAGAAAGGACCTTAATGACAAGGTGTAAAAAAAAATTATGTAGTTTCAATATTTTAAATTTTGAGCACAAACAAGACAAGCTATATGTACAAAAAAAAAAAAAAAACATATACACACTTGAATAAATTTTTTTTACAATTAAATATACATATACTGAAAATAGAATATGATTTCACCAAAATAAGTAAAACTTGGATATATATAAACTTGGTTACTTCAACCTCAGTATATAAAAAAAAATCACATTTGTAAATAATTGAAAATTATTTTTTAGAAAAAATATTATAATACTTCTGTCAACTTCAACATGAATTTGAAAAATTTAAGGACATTTATTGAACTTTTCAAAACTTGTGGACATTTAAGGACACTTTTATTTTTTTAAGGAACTTAAAGAGAACTTCGAGCCCTCATTTTTGAACCACTGTACTTACAAAAAAAATTAAATTAAAGCTAATAACAAAAAGTTTTTTTTTAGTTTACTTAGCTTTTGAAATTATTACCTCTTAGCAAATAATTAAACAAATAATGAAAAAAAATTAATAGTTCTTGCTTAGTTACAGAACTTTCTTAACTCCAACTTTCATTGTTTACATCCACAAAGTCACAAATGTGATTTATGAAGAAATGAAGTTTTTAGAATTGGGTTATATAGATGTATTTTAGTTTATACGTAATGGCATTTACAATATTTTATTTTGAACAAGATCTAAAAACTTCCTGTCATAAAGGTGAATTAAGAGAAAAATACTTTGTAAAAAAATATATATCTGATTTTGTGTGTTCTGCTTGAATGCCATACAATATATCTATCAGCAGTTGTTTCCAATAGAAATAAAAAGGTATCAAGATATAAAATAAAACAAGAATATTTACTACTTACAATATTTGTTTCAATGGGATTCCAGCTTAACACACTACATGCTCTTATAATCTTGGGAACTACAGAAGAAAAAAAACAGATATAAAAATAAAGTATTCAGATAAATGTCGTACAAATCAAAATGTGAATTTTAATAAATAAAAAAAAAGCAATATTTCTCAAAAATCTGTATGTGTAACTAATTTAAGTGTGACTACAAATTTTCATTTATCAGTCAGTTAGATTTAATAATAATTCTTTATTTTTACATTAGTAAGATTATAGAAAAGCATCAACATAATTAAAACAATAAAAGATCTCCATTTCCCTCTCTTTTTTAAGATGATAATCAATAATAATATCATCTTAAAAGACACTGTTTTCACAAACATAGAACCTATTTATATTTATCGTTACAAATTGGTATAATTTAATAAAAAAAGTCAAAATTCTCAACCAGTACCACCTAATTAAGAAAATATCTTAAAAAAACTGAAAATGAATTAATTTCAAGGTGATGATATTTTTATAAATTTCATGTTGACAATTGTAAAAGCTAGTTGTTAGCCCTGAAAAAAACTTTTCTGTGCCACAGTAATAAACAATGTAGAATGAAAGTCTTTAAATTATGGTAAATTGATAATATGAGAACCTAGGTTATCTATCGACCTATTTTATGGACCAATTATAATTAATAATGTTTCCCTTTTTGCATGTGATGTAAGAGATATGGGAAAAAAACTTTATGAAACTTTTCCCTAACATTGTACAGTAGAACTAGGCGATTTTAGTCAGTGATTTCATACTCTCCCAATAATTTATTATGTCTAAATAATGGACATCTTTTCACACACGCTTGCATCATTTCCTTGCTCTACCAGACTGCCGTGGTATATATACATATAAATATATACTATTCAAGAATGATTGATGCAAGGTAAATAGTTCAGCTATTTTGTTTTCAATTTAATATGTGATTATGGAAGTAGATAATACATTTTTATGAATAACATAACGATGTAAAAATTCAGTAGTTAAAAAATAAAAAGTTTAAAAAAACATAAATTTAAAAATTTATTTAATGCTTACCAAATTCTCGTCCAATAAGTTCAACATCTTTTGAAGTGGGTTCTATACTAAAGAAATATAAAGTTTTAATAAAAAATTGCATGGAAGGAGAAATAAAACTATACAGTCAGGTGACTGTTATATATTAATACTGTTCTTATATGTGTAAAGAGGGATAGACCTGCAGCCTATTATTCGTGTTAAAAATATACAAGTATTTGAGAGCTGGTTCAGAATAACGTATAACTATAATAGTCTTTCGTTAATGCTGCTATGTTACCTTTGCTCAATCACAGTTACTTTTGTAGCTCTCATTTGCTTTTAATTGTAAGCACAGTAGAACCCCAATTAACCTATAACCTTGAGGTTAAGAGAATTTGGAAAAACAAAATCTTCAAACTATCAGGGGATATTTTTAAACTGATGTGTTAGTGCATAAAAAGTGAATTAAACTACTCAAAATAAATAGTAGTTATAATTAAAAAAACATCAAAAATTTTATAACCTATAATTTCAAACTATAATTAAACTATTATTCGACTATTATTAAAGAAAATATTAAAAAATAATAAATATTTACTAAGAGTTGCTTTTTGCATGGAATTATCTTTCGATAAACGATTTTATAATTATGTGCAAAAATGTTTCAATTTGGTTAAAAAGTTCTCAAAATATGGCAAAATACATAAACAGTAAAATCAACATTAAGTACTTTGGACCGCTCTCTTGACCAAACTATTTGGACTATATTTCCCAGATTAAAGCTACTCCGTTTATTTCAGGGGGGTTCGTAAATCTGAATTCATTGAAAAAAAGTCTGGTTATTTAGAGAAAGTGCGTTTTGTGTCTGAATTCCTAACTTAAAATATTGATTGTACTGAGTCTGATACTGATCTTAGAACATGAAGATCTGATCATTAGATCAAAAGTTTTTCAGGGTGGTCTGTTTTGTATTTTGCACACTGTATATATAGATTTATTAATACAAATTAAAAAATGGCAAAAAGAATTCTTTTGTTATTTCAAATGATCCTTCATTAGAAAAATTTATTCAATTAAAATATGCAATACCATCTGTTAATGTAATTAAGAATGAATGCTCTTCCTTGAAAGAAAAATAAGTAAAAAAAAAAGAATATTTATTAGTGTACCTTTCCAATGTGATATGACCATTAGAAGATCCAATAGCTAACACAAGGGGATAATCAGAATTTGTGCACCACGCAAAGCACTGAAAAAGAATTTTGTATACAATATACACAGTAAACACTAAATAACATTTAATCTATTAATTTGGTTTTTACATACTAAATAAGATTATTGTAAAATAATAATTTGTAACATATTTATGGAGCCTGTGGACCATCTAAATGTTAATTATGGTTAAATGGTGTTTAATTTTTAGCACTTTGAACAAAAGTAGCACAACAACAGGCAACACTTAAAAATTCATTAAAAACATAGAGAATATGAGGCACCTGAACATACGTCAAAAATTTTGCCTACTTATTTTTTTTAATAAATGGTTTGCTTTTATAAAGAACAAAAGAAATTATAAAGGAAACTGTACAATAAATTAAACTTATTACTTAGTTTTAATAATTATTTTTAATTCTCTATTTTAAACTCTTGTTTTTTTAATTGATTAAAATGTATAGACATTTTCGTGTCAAAAAATGCTGTACACTAAAAGTTGTAAGTTTCATAAAACATAGATCCACATTTAAAAATATTTCAAAAACAGAAACTGTGGCGATAGTGTTTAATTACTCTTTAATATAAAAAAAAGCAGTAAAAATTACGTTTGAACTTAAACAATGAATATATAACACTGGGTAATTGATTAAACAGGGTAAAGAAGTTTTTAAAAAATTTAAAACTTAATTCATACTTTTAAATATTGGTGATCAGAACTTGAAGCTATGAGGTTAGCACTTGAGGTTTCTGACAATGGAACTGAAATGAAAACATGTAGATTAAAATTATTTCAAAACATTCACAAAATAATTAGATTCACATAAACAGCAATAATTCACAAAATTAACATACTAAGAACCAATTTATCAGATAAATATTACTATTTCTTTGATTTATCTGAAAAGAGCATAAATTCATATTTATAAAAGAAACAGTTTTTGTGTAAGTATTTCCCTCTAATAAGTCCTGAACTGTTTGTGTTAGGCTCTTGAAATTCGGTGAACTGGTAAGTGAAAGTAGGAAATTTCTAAAAATCACTCAAAACTTTTAATTATATCATGCAAGTAAGCCATTTTAAAAATGAATTTTTCTTAGTGGTTTAGCATAAGCCATTTTTTTAAATTAAACTATGAATGATTCTGTTTTTTCTAATATTCGAAAAGCTATCAGAGCTTTTCTGCGTGTCTAAAATTTCAAATGTGATACTAGTTCATGTCAGAGAACAGACTTTCTAAATGGCAAAAAATAACAACATATAGTCAACAAATTTGGAAACTATGGAAGAGGGAAACTATTTAAAGAATTTGCAGCAACTTTGGAAACTATTTAAAGAATTTGTTGCAATAATATAAATGGATGTTTACAAAGAATATACCAAGTACAAAATGGCTAACAGGGAGAATTAAAGAAATAATTTGTGGTAAGAATCGAAAAGTACGAGTAATAAATATCTTGTTAACAAATGGAAAAATATTAAAACGAAATGTTAGAGATAAATGTGTACTTCTTATCGATATTGTAATGAGTGTATAGATGTCATTTAATATTTAACATTAAGCTTAATTTAAAGGTGTTTTTTTTTTTCAATTATACATATCGAGTAAATATTATTGTCTTTAATTTTAAATATTTGTATTTATTATTTTGAAACTTCTCAGATTTCAAGGCTGGGAGTATTGCATGAGTAGCCATGGCAACCGGTGCTGTTTGAAAATTTTTAGAATTCTTCTTTCATTTTAAGTTTAGTATGCATTGATATTTTTTCAAAGAGTTTACTCTTGAATTGGGGAACCCGAGAGATCCTATAAATATTACTGAAATTATCAATGAAGAGAATCTCATTCCTTGAAATATGTTTTCCTTGTTTAATTAAGAATCAGAAATTCTAACATACAGTTCACTATCTGACAAAAACTTTTTATAATATTTAGATGTAAGCAATGAAAACGTAAGATATTTTTTACAGGCATTAGAATCTTTAATTACAAAAAAACCTTTCTTCCAGAATAATAGATTAAGAAAGATATTTTAGACAAAAAAGTAATATAAAAAGACTTGTTAGAGTTTTTATATTAATGTCGATATATGTGTGTGTGTATATACATACATATACATAATGTTTATTTTAAAATCATTCTTATTTTCTAATATCAAAATTGTTAAGGAATTACATTTAATTTTTAATTTATTTTATTACAATTTTTAATATTTAATACACTAAGTTCCCAAATAATACATAATTTACCTTTTAAGACTTTATTTATGTATTAATTAAACTTAGTATACAAATCACATATTTCTTTTAAGTACCTGTTTTTTACTATATGAAATCTAGGCAAACAATTTTTTTTAGTTGTAATGTAATACACAATTATTGAATTCATAAACTTCATAACATGGACAGGTAAATAGAATTTATAACAGTCCAAGTATAAAGATAAAATCTAGGTGTAAGGTAAATATAAATGTTTTGCAATAAGTATTAAAACTAATATCAAGTTTGAAAAACTTACAGAAAGATTTAAGAATTCCATCCTTATGATATTCAACTTCAAATAATTGTATATCTGTTCCAACAGTAATGAACCTAAAATTACAAGTAGAAAACTTCAGTTTCATGTCAGATTACAACAAGGATCCTTAATTATCCAAAATTAATGTTACCAAACCTGCTTTGAATAATTATAATATTTGGATTAGAAAGATTAACATACTTTCCTTGATAAGTTCTAAAAATTACATATAATCAGGGGTCAGTTTAGAAGAAATTTGGGTCTCTTCACAAAATATCTTTCCATAAAAACGGACCTTTCACAAAATAATTCATATTTTAATCGGACCCTTCACAAATTTGTTTATCTTCATTATTGTTTTGTCAATCGAATAAGCCCTTCCCGGGGGAAAAAGAAAGAAAGGCGGTTCGAAAAAAAGGTATGTTTATTCAGAGAAAGTACATTTTTGTGTCTGATTTTCCAATTTAAAATGTCGTCTGCAGTTATTAATTAGCATGTTTGAGATACTCCCTTAAGCCATTAAGTTCATAGCCATTGAGTCCTAGAACATGAAGATCTGATCATTAGGTCGAAAATTATTCAAGGTAGTCCTTTCTTTTGACACACTGTACAGCTGAATATTAAAANTTTGGTTTTTGCCGGTTTTTACCAGTTTTTGCCGGTTTTTACCAGGTTTTTGCCACTGTCCTGGCAAAAACCCCTTTTTGCCGGCAAAAACTCCAACCCTGGTTGCAAGAAATTAAAGAATTCTCCTTACGGACTCCTAATATTTGCACCTGTGGTGGATTCTCATCATAAAAGGTTGTAATAGCAAAAAAATTAATTTGATATAAACAAAATCGAATAAACTATTCAACAAAATTCCCTATAAGATATTAATTAAGCAGTTCAATCATCAGAAAGATTGCAACAATGAAATAGAATAAAATTTTCAACAGCTCATTTAAAGAAAATGTTCATCAATTCAGTAGAGTAAATAAAAAAAAAGTTTTTGTGACAAAGTTGCCTGTTACAATACAGAATGACAATTTAAAATGAGAAATAACCTGTTTGATTCTGTTGGAGACCAAAGAATGTCAACTTTGGGTGAAGTCATCTTTCATTCAATGTAACTGAAAATATGTGAAGTAAAATTATTATTTTAAAAATGTAATAAATATTTATACAGTTTGTGTTACTTTAAAAAACAATACCCAAAATATGTAAAACACAAACACAAGGACATGGATAAAATTCGGAAACACATTGACATTTTAAAATAGAGGTTTTTTACTTTGTTTTTATTCTTTTTATTACACTTTTTATTATGTATTTGTACACAAAACTTCTTGTTTTTATTATTTGATAAATTCAATGTGTTTAGAATGTTTATTTTGGAAATTGTTATTCATTATGATGGTGCCAAAAGATTTCGCATTTTCGCGGGCGTTGACAGGTCGATGAGATAATCCCAAAGTACCAAAAAGAACACTTAGACCAAAAATAATCAGCAGATGCTGCCTTAATCTGTATTGCCCACTGCCAAGCTAGAGAGTTCGTGCGAATAAGTATCTGCATAATATTTACCATGTCTATTTTCTTGTCAATTCAAGTTTTAAGTGTTATATTCATTACACAAAATGTAACATCAGAAATATCAAATTTTTTTTTAATTATTTTATTTGCAAAAATTTTTTTAGTGACATTCATCTTGCTGCTAACAGTAATAATAGGATAAGAAAAATATGTCTTTGTTCTGACAAAATATTGACTTTAAATATTTTGTAATTGACATAACAAAAATTTTATTAATCAACATTTTGAAATTACCAAAATCATATTTTCTAAAAAGTTTTCATACAATTTAAATAATAGTGTAATATTACTGTTGATAATTAAAATAGACTGGGGAAGATTTTCATACCAGTGCCTGCCAAATTTTGGCAACAACAACAGGAAGTTGCACAGGAAAAACTGAAGTAAAATAAAAAATCACAGACCAACTTAAAACTTATAACTCAAAACCACACCCAGACCAATATACATTTTTCGTTTTTAAATTTTTTCTAAACAAAAATCTTTTGACTATTACAATGTTACAATAGCACAAACAGTATGGAAATTCACCAATTTTGATTAAATTTCAGACATTTCAAGAAAAATTAAAATACTTATAATTTTAACTTTTAAGTGAAAAATTATGCTTTAAATAATTTCTAGAAATCAAAAAGCCTAACATTAAAATAAACAAATCTCAAAATGTACTAATCCATTTTTACAGCACAAGTAAATTCAGCTGTTTCATTCATTTTTATTTTAAAAAAAATAGCGGTAACATTAAAAAAAAAATTTTAAAAATTTTTTGATTTACCTGCGCTTGATAACTTTGCATAGACGACTGAATGGAAAAATATATGTGATGCCTCAATATAAGTAATATTTGATATTTTGGTGGAATTGAGCAAATATAAAAGGGTTACTCCATTACTGGTGTTATATCACATTACATTAGTTACAAAAAACTGGAGTAAGAGTAAATGACACTAAGAAACGGGTTTCAACTGAGTTTTGCTTCCAAAGTCTGCAAATACTAGGTACATTCATAAATGGAGCTATCCAAAAGAGAAAAGTGTAACAAATGTTAAATTAGATATATATTTTAACAATAGTTGCATACATCGTTACTTATTGGTTCCTGTTGTTCTCAATCATTTTTTTATTAAGATAATGAGTAGACTCAATATAAATAAAACCTTTATACAGTAAAAGAATAAGACTAAATATATAATATTATTTATTAAAGAAAGAATTTAACGAAAAAAAATTTTTAAGTCGGTAAACAGTTGTGAATTACAAAAAAAAAAATAGTTTATAGCTTAGTTTTCTACTTTGATACATCAAAATTCAAAACAAAATAAACAAGCGTGATGATTGTCTATCTTGTGATCTCTTGTGTTTACAATAGAACACTTGCAGCGAACTATTTCTTTAACAAGGAATGACAAGGAGAACTATCTTGGCAGCCGCTATTCTTGAACGATGTTCAATTTTCATGTAAAGTTGCCCTTCTCTTCATTATTTTTTTCCGCGCTACTTTTTTGAATGGATGTTTTGAATATGAATGTAAGCAGCAACAACCTCAAGCTCTTGACCTGCTCTACTTCTGGTTAGAAAGTTTGTATATCCCTTAAATAAATCACTAACTGTTTTAAAAATAATTCACAGTAGTTATTCCTATTCCGCCATTATGGAGCAAACAAGTTAGCTAGTTGCATGGTATTAACATTAGCGTGAGGAGTTTGAAGCCCATTTAGATACTTGAAATTATTGGTATGGGTAATTATGCAGCGATGAATTGTGAAAACTGTTTTAAAAAAAGGGCATTCTAATTTTAAGATTCCCATCAGATCTCGAAAGAAAGAAGAAATGGGTAGTAAATTGCAGAGGATATAAAGCAGCCTGGAAAAGGGACTCGCTTATGTGAGGCTCATTTATTCATATTGTATTGAATTTATTTACTTATATATATAATATATACACAACTTTAAGCTGTTAAAATTTATTTCTGAATGCTTGTTTTTGTTTGTTTCTTTCTCAGATTTATGCTTTAAAAGCACATTTGGATTTCAAAATCTATAAATTGGAATGATTTTATTTTCATTGAATGAGTAGATAGGAGTCTGGAGAATTTTATAAATCGTCTTAAGCACTTGATTTCCTTAAAATTTTATGTAAAAAAACTGAGCGCCTTTACTTAAGTATAACTGAAAATTTTTTTAAAAAAAGTTTAAACCAAATTAAAAGTTTTTATTGAGGCCAAAAGAATGCGAAATACTAAATTATAGAGTTCGTATATGAAAGATATACAAAGAATGAGAAATATTAAATTATAGAGTTCATATATGAACGATATAAAATGGTCATATTCGTAACACGTCTTCCAGCAGATAAGGAATAATTCCTGTGGCTGTCTATGAGATGACTATGCCTGGGTAAGTTATGAATCAAATTATCCATATTTCGTCCACCTAAAAGTTACGGTGGATGTCTGATTTACGACTGATGGACTTCTACTGTATCTTTGTGGATCATCTCATTCATTTCACCATGCTGCTTTAGGAGTTCAGTCAACCTCAAAAGAAGCAGAATGGTTTCTCAAGTTGCGTCTTGAGGCACAGTACTACCTGTAGACACAAAGATTCCAGCATGCTTTAAACCAGGTTACCAACCCTCGCTTTTTGATCTATCATTTCATCTACTGACTTTTTCCCCGAAACGAACTTTGTTGTATCCTCTGAAACATTTGAAATTGACCACACACCAGTGAGTATTTCTTTGACCATCTCCAACAATAATTCTCTCTCGTGTTAACAAAATTGAATTCATTGGAGCCACCTTATCCCAAACTTAGAAGAAATTATCCTTGTAGAAATAAGTTTCCATGCAAATTCTTCAATTAATAAATCAGCAAAAACTAAAGAAATATAACTCGTATAGAGTAGTCTATAACTCACGCTTTCCGCCTTTCTGAAACAGTCTTTGCACAACAGGGTCGGATTACCCATTAGGCCAAACTTGACCATGGCCTGTGGCCCCAAATGATTAGGGGCCCCCTTAAAATGAACTTTTTGAAAATAAATTAAGAAAAACAATGATTTTTCAAATTTTTTCAAAATTTTATGAGTACTTTTTAGTTCTAATTTAATATAATAAAGTAAAATTTAATTTATCATGATTTACTTTAATTTTAAATATGCTTTCTTACATAAAAAGATACATAAATACTTTTATATTGGAATAAATAAAAAATAATCTAGGGACCCCAAAAATTTTAATGGTCTAGGGCCCCGCATACGCTTAATCCACCCCTGTTGCACAGTTTTATTAGGTAAAAAATGCAAATACTCGAGAATTGCACATCATATTTTTAATCCAGTTTGGTGGAAGATATATATTAAAAAAAACTTCATCTGAGTAGCGGAAGGCAATCCACTCAAACCATAGGCTGGAATGAAATCTGCATAGACATTTGTCAACCTAAATCCATCTATAAAATACTCTGTTTAATTTTAAATCGTCCTGAACTCCTTAATGCCCCCTCATACAACATCACAGTGAACAACAATGAACTTTACAGGGCCTTAACACAAACATATTCATAACCTTTTCCTCTAAACAGAGCCTACCCAAAAACTCTCATCCCCTGGACTTCAGCGAAACAGGCAGGATTTCAATCAAGTTTTCACATTATTAGAAATTCATGATGCCCTCCCATCCTCCATTTTTAAATCACCAGAACTAGATGAAATTACTCTAAAAGGACTACGCTCTCTATTGAAAACAGCTCTGCTGACGGCGGAATTCGCTAACAGCAAATTTTACAATGAACCGAGGCGTTTCGCAAGGGTCTGTTCTTTCTCCTCTCCTCTTCATGATTTACATGTTTGACCTTCATCTTTATCTCACTGGTTATATATTATGTTTTGTCTTTGGGGCATATTTCAGTCGCAAAAACCATACACAAAACGAAATACAAGATGCAATTCGGTCGCCACCAAACTCAGATAAGGAGGAATGATAAGAACTTTGAAATTGTCTCAGACAAAAGCGCCGTCATTAACTTATCCAGAAAACAGATTGGTGATAATTTCAGTTTTAACATTTTCAGCAAATCTATCTTCTGGGTTCAAAGCCTTCGTATTCTCGTTCAACATTTCTCTAGCATCATAACCTTCTACGATCATTTCAGTTTTAAATCCGAAAATCCTAAAGTAACTCTCTATGCTTCACTATAACTCTAACACAGGCTGGGATGTCCGATCAAATCACTTGCTCCGAATTGCCAACTCATGCATCAGGAATTCCCTTGACTTCGGAAGTCACAACTTTTCTTTCTTCAGAAAAACTGGTCTAAGAACCCTTGGCGTATTATGTAAAGCTGCACTTCTTGTGGCAATTGGTTTGCTAGATAGACACCTATTCCATCTCTTCTCAAAGATGCGGGAGTACACTAGCATCACGAAATAAATGGCTTTCAGCAAAATTTTACTTCCGACACATCTCTCTCGAATCTTCATCTGTCCCGCAGTGGACTGACCATTAAGACAGAGTTCCCATCAGATCACCGGAGTCAAGCATTATCACTGGCTGCATTCAGTGTGTGAGTGGGTGACCACTTGGATCAGTCTGCGTAGGGACCGAGGGTGTGCGGTATTGGTCCTCGTTAACCTGGTCTACCTTAAGTGCTCGACTTCGCGTGCAGGTCATTGGGCTACCGAAGCGGCGTTGCCCTCCCCTCTGCAGAGGATCAAAATTGTGATGGCATGTCTTCGAATCATCTTCAGGGATTCTTCCCAGACCGTCGATCGTCAATAGCCAATAGTGTAGTTCTATTGCTGAGTAAATGAACTACATCAACACCAATCTTCTTCTACAGCTTACTATCACCTACATTTCCCCCCATCCCACTTTCCCTAAGGTAAAAGGACTCCACTGATACCGTTCATTCACAATTGGGTGACCAGCACGAACATAACTCAAGGTAACGTTATTAAATACCACAATTGAACTCAAATTCTTTAAAATTCTTCAAATTATGACGATAACTTACCATTTCAAACCAAACTGTTAATCCTGCTATAGAATTGATTTTTGTGCGAAATGTTTCCCTATCTGAATCTCTCAAACTGTATTGTTCTAGCAACCATTGGATCCAAATAAACAGACAAAATTAGCTTGAGAATACATGCCTTCGAAGGTTACACTATCCAAAGTCGGCTTTCTCCGCATACATCGGACTTTATTGCCGAAGTACTGGCCATTCACTGATCCCTCAAGCATTGTGTTACCAGCAACGACAACTATATTTTCTAACGGACAGCAGTTTGATACTTCAGTCTCTCATCAAAGGCAACCGAAAATTTCATAAAATCTCTCTTCTTCTTCTTCTTGATCATATTACTAAATCAAGTAGGAAAGTGAGATTCCTCTCCTATATTAGGATTCCATCCTACCCAGGAATAAAAGAAAATGAACAAGTCAGCTTGTATCTTCTCTTGGAATCTCCCTCATTCCAGAATGCTCTTAACACTACTAATCGTTATGTCATCAGAACCCAGCGTTATCTATTCGGAACATCTGCTGCGGAACCCTGAATTTTTTTCCTAATCCTCAGATCAAACTTCAATCCCTTTAAAAATTCACCCTGTGTTATGGTAGCCAAGTGGTTAAAGAATCGAACTCCAGTCCGGAGGAGTGGGGTTCTATACTCGACTCCACTAGGATCCATCGAGTACATGCGATATACGTGCTCGCAAAATTCCGAGGATCAAAAGTCTTGGGGTCGATCGTTGAGCAGTACTAAGTACTATGGGCACAAAGGTAAAAAAAAAAGTATCTTGTCCCTTCAGATCTATCTCTAAATTGAGGAAGCGGCCTCACAAAATTGCGATGGCACGTCTTTGAATCATCCTCAGGGAATTTTCAAAGCCTATCGTCAATAACCTATGGCAGATCAGCTTGCAAAACATGCGCTAAACCAAAAGTTTATTTAACACCTTTCATCATCTTAGGGCCTTATCCAAGCCTTCCTTGACGAAACGCTCAATAAGGAACTATGTGTTATGGAAGGGCTGCAAATACTTCCTTTCCTTCTCTCACTTCGATGTATCTCAAGATCACTGTCCACTAATCGTCCCGCAGTGGACTGATTGTTAAGACACGGTTCCCAGCAGATCACCGAAGTCAAGCATCACTGGCTACGGTCATCGTGCGGGTGGGTGACCACTTGGATCAGTCTGCGTAGGGACCGAGGGTGTGCGGTATGGGTCCTCGTTAAACTGTGCTACCGTAAAGTGCTCGACTTCGCGCGCAGGTCGTCGGGCTACCGAAGAGGGGGTGCCATCCCCTCCGCAGAGGATCAAAATTGTGATGGCATGTCTTCGGATCATCCTCCGGGATGTTTCCCAGACCGTCGCCAATAGCCC